CCTTTGAATCATTTCGGCAAGTTGAGATCCGCTTCAGTTTGGACACAGCAACACCATGTGAAGAGTTCGGCTGAAAACCCCAATTCGTGAGCCTGAACATGTGTCATAAATTAGACCAACCCAACCAAAGCATTGTTCTGCAATAACCTAATTGTTTGTTTTACAAAGTCTAATTCTTCTTCGATCATGACTGTAACGAGCACGATACATCGGTGGCGGCGGCACCAGAGGAGGAGAGTTGTCAGATTCCAACAGAAATGGGTGGTGACAGTGGATTTTTGGGGTTTCAATTGGGTTTCATGGTGTGTGATTTTAGTATGAGTTGCTAATTTTTGAAGACCACGGTGAGAAAGCCGGGTCGTGGTTGGTAAGGTGGATGATGGTGGGGGCAGTTGATTTATGTACTACACCCTAGATTGATTGACGCCCCCAATTCCTACTACACCCTCGAAAGCATAATCTCCGAAACCGTCGCCAAGACTTGGACATTCTCCTCGTCTGTCCACCGAGCCGCCGTCATATTCGAGTTCTCCCCGTACAGTTTGCTGAATGGCGGTGTGCTCGACCGATGGAAAAGGCTGGTTCGGGACGGCAACGAATCAGTTACTAAAGAAGTCGCGATTCCGGTGATGGGCTGTTATGAAGAAGCTTGGCTGTGATTGGGTTTGATAGCTGCCGGCGGGACTGAACGGCTGCGAGCTTGGCTTCGGATGATGGCGGGCGGCGGTGGAAAAGACGACTATGAACTTGGCTTCGGATGATGGCAGCCGGCGGTGGAAAGGGCGGCTGTGGACTCCACCGCGATGGGGCGTTTCGCGGCGAGCTTAGCAAGCAAGACCGCCCTTGTTCCTTTCTTTTCTCCATTTTACCTCCTCATTTGCTTTTTAGATTAAGAGTTCAGAGCTGAGTTGATCAAGGTCTTGGCAGAATTTCAAGGATTTCTTCATTCGCATGGGCTTAGATATACCTGGATTGGAAATGATCATTTTGTTATAAGGAAAATCTTTGTTAAATTGAGCATATGAGAGAGCATGAAGCCGGTAGCCATAAGACCTACCTCAGCCTGTAGGGACCAAAAAAAAAAAAAAAAAAAAAAAAAAAAAAGAAAAAACCTTAAAGGTATACTTGTCTTTTAGATTTTCCGGCATTGACAATTAACACAATGGATTTAATTGCAACAAAATTAAAGTTTAAGGGGTTTTTTTTTTGTAATTTAGGGGTTACTTGCAAAAGCCCCATAGTTCAGGGGGGTTTTATGCATTTTTCTCTAATGTATATAATACAGAATACAATGGTTTTACAAATTTGAAAGAATGGTGATATTGGTTTGATTTATTTTTTTATTTTTTTGGCAAGAAACTCTCCGATTGTAATTACTGGGACTCAAACTCTTATGCTATGTTTGGTGTGCAATAATGGAATGGAATGCAAGTGGAAATGAAACCAAAATAGGAATTGAATGGAATGGTCATTCTCATTCTATTTTTGGGTTGTAAATATGAAATGTGTACGAATGGAATAATAATAACAATTCTAATGTTTGGTTGGACCAATTTAAAATTTACAATGAAATAAAATTCAAATTGAGTTATCCAAAATATCACTCTTAGTAACAAATAAATTAAATTAACAACATAACATTCTTTTATAATTTTATTTTTAAAAAAATAAATGGTGGTTGTGGTGGTGGTGGATGATGATGACGGTGGTGGTGGAGGTGGTGGTGTTGGAAGGCGGCGGCGGTAATGGTGTAAGGCAGCGGTGGTAATGGTGGAAGATGGTAGTGGTGTTGGTGGAAGTAGTGTGGTGGTGATGGTGGAAGAAGATAGTGGTGTAAATGACGATGGTGGAAACCAATGGAGGTAACTGTGGTGGTGGTGGTGGAAGGCAATAGAGGCAGCGGCGATGGAAGGTAGTGGTGGTGGAAGGCAATGGAGGTGTTGGTGGTGAAAGGCGGTGGCAGGGGTGGTGGCGTGAAAGGCGGTGACAGCGGTGAAAGGCGATAGCAACTGCGGTAGTGGTGAAAGGCGGCGATGGTGGTAGCGGTGATGGAAAGTGGTAGCGGTGGTGAAAGGTGGTACCTGTGGTGAAAAGCGGTGGCGAAAGGCAATGGCGGGGGTGGTGGAAAGTGGTAGGTGATCCAGAAATTGTTGGAGATAAACAAACCTTCTCAAGCACACTGATATCAACTTCTTCAACGTGATAACCCAAACAAAATACTGACTTTGAGGCGTGTATTCACTTTCCTTAAAGTGTTATTTGCCCCCACTCAATTTGAGTTTACTAATGGGTTCTGTAGCAAAACACTCCCATGATACAATAAAGTCTGAATTCCTGTAATTAACAATATTGAAGGAATTCCCTAAATACTCGTTGAAACTGTTACAACTCGACACAACACAAGAAAGGGAACATAAAAACTTGAATTCATAATATTATGCACCATCGTTATTTATAAACTTCAAAACACTCCCATGATACAACAAAGTCAAAATTCCTGTAATTAACAATATTGAAAGAATTCCTTAAACACTCGTTGAAACTGTTACAACTCGACACAACGCAAGAAAGAGAACATAAAAACTTGAATTCATAATATTATGCACCATCGTTATTTATAAATTTCAAAAAGTTGCAAACCAGAAGTCACTTATCATTTGAATAGTTATAACCTATTCAGGAGGTGCAAATCAAAAGTCACGTATTATCTTAATAGTTGTAACCTATTCAGAAGATGCAAACCAAAAGTCATGTATCATCTTAATAGTTGCAACCTAAAATGAAAAGGTCACGTGTGTATGTGTGTGTGTGTGTGTGTATATATATATATATAATAATATATTAAATAGGTGGTGGTAGTGATGAAAGGTGGTAGTGTTGGAAGACAGTAGCGATGATGAAAAATAGTAATTGTGGTGAATGTGGTGGTGAAAGGCAGTAGCGGTGGTGGAGTTGAAAGTCGACGACGGCGGCGGCGGCGAAAGGCAAAAGTGGTTGCGGTGGAAGGTAGTGGTGGTTTTTGAACTTGGAACATGAAGGTTTTTTAGGAAGTTGATTTTTAAAAAATATTTACTTAGGAATAGAATGGTCATTCTATAAGTTTAGTTGTGGAGTAATTTTTATTTTCAAGAATAGATTTTTATTTCAATTAAATAATCATTCCCATTTTAAATTGCATATCAAACAAATAAATAGTTAGAATGGACATTTCAATACTCCACACTAAACGTAACATTACTTTATACTTCGACAGTAGAAGATATATCATTTGGTTACGGTTTTTGATTTGCTTCAATTTAATACAATACTTTTAAAAGGCAAATAAGATATTACTAGACTAAATATTAATTATAATACTAATCTACCACAAATATTACATGACGTGTATATCAATCCCTTGTGTGCACTATCATCTAGGCTAATGAAAAATACATTGACCATTGACTAAATTAAGGCCACGTTATTAAAGTAATACATTAATCAAATTACTATTATATACACAATTTTTACATTATTTTTAAAAAAGGCGTAAGATTAAGTATTACAAATCAATTCAAAAATACTTTATCTTCATCAGACAGCAACTACTTTAATATATAGTTATATGCGCACCTATTTAACATTTGAACTTTTAATTAAAAATAAAGACATATATACGCATGAAAGGGATGGAGTTTGTAAATTACCCATTACATCCTTTAATGTGAACATAAGGTTGTCACATGGTATGAAATGCTAGGACATCTACAAAATAAAATAGAGTAATTGTACCCATCTTGAAAGGAATTTAATTTTTTATTCCCAAAAAACAACTCTCCATTCATTTATACTCTTTTAAGTATTTCCTCTACTTGCTACCATTTTTTAACTCTTACAAAACAACGTTATTATTGAACAATTGGGATACCGGATACAAATATATATATATATATATAAAAGAAAATACAATATATTGTTTATAACCTTTCACTGCAGCTTCCTTCTTTGCATTATCAACCTCTTCTTAAGGATTTGAGATTCTAAATGTCTGAGATTGTTTAGACAGAGTCTAAGCAGACGTAAATAGGATTATTTGGATGTTTAGTCTAAGCCTAGATTTGGTTAAACAAATCTAGAAGCACGGCAGACTCGGTCAATTTCTCGAAAGTTTCAAAAAATCTGCAAGCCAGTGTCTGGAAGGCGGTTATGATAATACCCAGACAGGACAGGATATCAACTTAGCCTATGATATCATCCTATTTACGGACTAGTATTGTTTGGAGAAAAATCAGGTCAGATCTGTGATTTGAAACTTAATTCATACAAATCATATACGTGTCTAATTTACTTTTCTTTCATCTTTTGTTTAATTAAAAAAATAAAGTAGAAGAAGCAGAAGAAGAAGAAAAAGAAAAAGACATAACAAACGCACTAAAGATAGAATCATACTGCACACGCAATTGACTTGCTTAGAGAATAGAGACGAGTAAAACAGAAAACCAAAGCGTAGGTTTTTTGTTTTCTTCTTTCAAAAATAAATATCTATTTACATTCAGAATCCATGAGCATTAATTACTAAATATGTGCAAGGCAGTATAATATGCAAACCTTTTCTTTTATCTCTCTATATATTATATAGTATATATATTTATATATATATTGCCTAATGAAACTATATATAGGTATATAACAAATTGTAGGCTTGTAGTAACATAAAACAAAATTTAGCTTGTAGTGAGTTGTATATACTAACAAATTTAAGAATCTTGGAAGTTATTTTAAATTTTTTTTTATAATTATTTTTATATTTAAAAATAAAATAAAAGTTTTTTTTTTTATTTTTTATTTTTTATGATGAAAATAAGAGTCGGTTTTCTGAATGCAGTTGGATGACACAGATTTGACACTTGCCCTTCCAATAGAATCCGAATGCAGTTGGATGACACAGACTTGAAACTTGCCCTTCCTATAGAATCAAAGTCAAATGAAGTAACTTCCTTTTTATGACCCCATTATAAAACCAGACAAACCGAGAGACAGACGTTCACCGAACCCTCTGACGCTCTCTTCTTTCTCTCTCTAAAAATAAACGGAAAGTCCGATATGCAGGCATGCATTTTTAATCGCCACATTTTTCGTTTTTGCTTTTTCATATTGCTCTAAGAACCCTAACACTCTTTCTTTTTTTTTTCTCTCTCTTCAATTGCAGAGAAACAATTTCCTCTGCATCAAGGTTCTCTTCATCACTGTTTGCCTCTTGGGATTTTCTTCTAGTCTCAAGGTACTCCCATTTAATTTCTTTTCCCTGAATCCATTTTCAAGATCGAGTTATTTCTTCTGCAAAATTAATCGTTTCTTCTCATCACAGATCGGCGAGACCTGTTCGGAATCTTCCGATAGTACCTGCGACACCGGATTACACTGTCTAACGTGCCCTGCAAATGGCAACACCCGTCCCAGATGTACTCGCATTCAACCACTCAGTCCCACATCAAAGGTAATACAAAATGCACAGTATATATATATATATATATATAATTATATGTAATTGATTTTGTGTTATGTGAGTTGATGATATAGGTGAAAGGTCTAGCGTTCAATAAGTACTCATGGCTAACGACCCACAACTCGTATGCTATAACCGGGTTCAAGTCGGGGACCGGATCTGTTATTCTCGCTCCGACGAATCAGGAAGATTCCGTTACCAGTCAGCTTCGCGTAAGTGATTTATTTATAAGAAATACTATTTCAATCTCTGTGCCACCTGAATGTTTGTTTTCGCCGGAAATTTCTCATGGCTTACCATGTAAGCAGCACTAGGATTTTTTTTGGGTCAATCAACCCAAATTTTTAGGAGACGAATTAACTTGATTACCCTTGATTTCTCGCATTACCCTTTATGCCCTGTTTGTGTGCGCCAGACCTTTTAGGTTTATGAAAATTGCTGATTTTTGTCTTTTAAGCATGTTACTCTTAAACTATTTTTTATTTTATTGTTATTATTATTTTTTTGAAATTTGAAATGACATGTAATTACAAGTTTGAAAATAATTGTGCGCCAACTTTTGCCTAGCTTAAAGAATAAGCATCCCATCCCATCCCATCTTACCTACCTGTATCATTGCACATTGTTCAACGGAAATGTGTTAGTATTATATCCTGTTTATGATCCTAGATATATTCGTTTTATATTTTTAAATCTTATTTTGTTCAATTCAAAAAAGCATATTTTATACTTAATTTTGTTCTTCAGTTCCAATTGCCAACTAATCTTGCACTTGGGTTAAAAAGTGGTGCAAAGCCTATACACTCTTTTATGCCGACTGTAGTTCTTGTTTGGAATCTACAGTGGTTAGAACTCAATTTTTTACAACTCTACTTTTTTATGTCTGTATGTAAAACGTGATTTTTTTAAAAAAAAATTTTATTTGAACTTTGAATTTATTGTTTAATCAAACAATACTACCTTGATTTTTATATGGGATGTTGTGAAAGGTTGATCTATATTCTATACCCTGTTCTAGTCGATTTCCCCCCCCCCCCCCCCCCCCCCCTCTCCAAAACTCTAAATTTAAACAAGGTGAATCTTGATTTAATTGAAAGTAGGGTGCTAAGAAATGTGTTTCTTGTAGAATGGAGTTCGAGGACTAATGCTTGATATGTATGACTTCAACAATGACGTCTGGTTATGCCATTCCTTCGGTGGGAAATGTTACAACGTTACATCATTTGTAAGTGTGACAGTAGTGGTATTTTTCAATTCATTGTATGTGTATGCTTTTAACTCACCTTTCTTCTTATGGTTGATTATTTGTGACATTCCCTTCCAGCAACCTGCTATTAATGTGCTCAAAGAGATTCAAGTGTTTCTGGATGCAAACCCAACAGAAATCATTACCATTTTCATTGAAGATTATGTGACATCCCCACAGGGTTTAACAAAGGTTTTTAATGCATCTGGCCTCAGTAAGTACATGTTTCCATTGTCTCGGATGCCTACAAATGGTGACGATTGGCCTACAGTGGATGATATGGCCCAAAAGAATCAACGTTTGGTGGTTTTCACCTCAATCTCGTCTAAGGAGGCTTCTGAAGGGATTGCATATGAGTGGAGATATGTTGTAGAAAACCAGTGTGAGTTATTTTTCACCGCCTCTTAAAACCCTTAGGGGTGCTGATAAAATGCAATATGTTGAGAAAATAATTTGCACAAGACTCATCAGTGATTGGGAGAGTTGTGATGGAATTATCATTGTGCCCAAATTTTATTAGACAGTTAGTTGAAAATTTTCTTTTAAAGACTTATTAGTTGTTATGCAGTCCGAAGGACGGTAACATCAGTTAGTTCAAAGGAGTATTTGACATCGTTAGTTGATAGCTTATATCTGTCAATTGTTGAGTTCCATTTAAAAACTTTTCGCAGAGATTTAAACTACAACCACCAAAAACTGAGAATTTTCTCTGAGTAATATTTTATCGTGGCTGAAATTGCAGATGGAGATGGTGGGATGAAAGCTAATTCCTGTCCAAATCGTGCTGAATCGTCTCCCATGAACACGACAACAAGATCATTGGTTCTTCAGAACTATTTTCGCTCAAATCCCAACTTAACAGAAGTTTGTGCTGATAATTCTGCTCCATTAACTAGTATGGTGACCACTTGTTATGAAGCTGCTGGCAAACGGTGGCCAAACTTCATTGCTGTTGATTTTTACCAGGTCTTGGCCGATTTCTTTGCAGATTTTCTTTTTAACATATTCTTCATTCCTGTTAGAGAATTTTTGCTGAATTTATTCGCTCGTTAATGTAGAGAAGTGATGGTGGGGGAGCCCCAGAAGCTGTGGATGAAGCAAACGGTCAACTGACTTGCGGTTGTGGCAACATTGCCTATTGCAAGGTATGCTGCTTTCCTGTTCTTTCACTTTGCCAACAAATTTGGCATCTTAATGATCTCCCAATTATTGAGTACAATCTCAAGTACTTAGTTAAATTCTCGAATTCTTAAAAATGATTGCATGTGATTGTATTTTCCTTTTCTTTTTTTTATTGGGGGTTGTTAACCGGCATTGTTTTATAATTTTGTAACATTTAAACTTGTTTTGTTAGGAGTAATATTTATTCATGGAAATTCCTGTCTTTTGAATTATTGTTGTCCCAAATAAATTTGAAATTCTAAAGCATTTTAAATTTATTACTTCCAAGTTTTCAAAATTACCTTTGTATTTGTCGGAGACGTGCACTTGTAAAATTCTTGTGTTGCAAAATTGCACTTTTTGAATATGAGCATAAAGAGATGCAAAGAAAAGTAGTCCAGACTAGTTAATTAATCAGACCACCAACTAATAATGGTACCTAATACGTAATGCTTTGTTGTAATTACCTAAACCATTTGGGTGTTGGTGGGTGCACTATGTGCAGAAGATAAGACACAGATAATATGGAAATCTTATAATCAATTGAAAGGTACTTGGAATGTTTCAACCTAACATTTTATAACCAGTGACTTTTTCAAATGTGCGCAGACAAATGCGACTTTTGGCACTTGTGATGTCCCTGTGATTTCACCTCCACCTCCGGCAGCAGATACATCTCAAGGTGGAACTTCGCAAGAACCCAGTAATGATTCTTTGAATAGCAGAACAGTCAAAGTGCAGTTTTTGATTGGGGTAGTTTTTACCACCTCTCTCTTACTGTTGTTATGAGATAGTAATTGTTAGAACGTGTTTGTAAAATTTATTCTCTTGTTTTTTCATTTTTTGTACCGCGTGTTTGTTAGTTTTTCCACCCGCTTTCTTTTTATTGATTTTGTATTTTTTTTCTATTTCAATTTAGCTTTGTTCACGAGTCTTGTGGCTCCGAGTGATTGATAACTTATTTTTTGTATATATAAATGCCGCCAAATTTGTTGTTCTGGTGAGTTGTGACTGATTGAGATACTCACCTTAGGGCAAAAGCCGTCTGGCTTAAGGAGCTGCTCAATAAAATTTGAGGCCTTGGACAAAAAAAATAAAGTGACCTTCTAATTAAATCTGCCTATATATTTATACCAGTAATATGATGGTGATTTTTAAACCTATCATTAAATATAATTCAAACTCTAATTCCATTGTTAATTAATTGGTTATGTGTTTTTTTATAGTCACATTTAACAATATAAATAAAAATTATAAACAAAATATATAATTTTATGATAACAAAAATTAATAAAACTATAAACTATTTTAAGTTATAGAATAATAGAAAGCTATTTTAAATAATTTGGTCTAATGCTCTAATAAATTCTTTAATAAAATATAAGTGTATTCAAAATCTTCTTACAGAGTGAGATTGTGAGATTGTAAATTGTAACAGTGGAGAAGATGAAAAAAAAAGGAAAAAAAAAAAACCTAATGAGAGAATAGAAAAATATATAAGGAGTAAGAAAATAAAAGTTAATACGAGTCTTAAAAAAATATAGAAAGTTTTACCAATTTTTACTTAAATATATATATAATATTCTGCGTGTGTGTATATATGGTGATGTAATGAGGATTGGAGAGGGCAAAAAAATTAAATTAAATTAAAAAAAAATAATAATAATAACAATAATACAAGGATAGAAATATTTTGGGCACACTATTAAATTTTGTATTTGTTAAGGTTTAATATAAGAAAATAAAATATTTAGGTAAGTTATAATATATAAAGAAAAAAAATTTGGGAGGAAAAAGATAAAAAAATATAAATCTTTTAGATTAACTGTCAAACTTCTCTATGCGTTAAAATTTAATAATTAAAGCAAATATTATAATTGTTTTAGGAAAGTTGTAATATATAAAGAAATAAAAAATTATGAAATCTTCTTATTGATTGGGGCCTTAGGCAACCGCTTAACTCGCGTAAGGCTACAGCCGCCCTGGCTTATTAATCTACGATTCCTCAAATATATATATATATATATATTATGATTGAAAATTTAATGAATTTTTAAAATTTCAACATTTTTTTCTCTTTCTAAGTTGCTTTTCAGATTACTTTATAGAGCAATACAGTGCCCCCAAAAGCCAAAAGCAGTAGAGGATGATGTATAACCGGCTATCATGTCATCACTAATCTCAGAAAATGATAATTTGTGAAAAAATGAGGATGATGTATCATGACATCCTAATCTCAGAAAATGATAATTTGTGAAAAAATGATAAAAGTAGGATAATAAATCAATTACGGCAGGCGCAGGTTGGAGCGAAACCCAACACAACCCAAAATTGAACATCTGTTTGTGAAAAAATATATATATATTGGGTGCAAACCTATAATATTCAGAAATTTTTGTTGTTCCAAGCATAAACAACTACAAATTTAGTTTGATTTTTGAATGCCAAATGTGTACGTTCAAGAGCATGTTAGACTTCAAACACTACAGAAACGGCAGCAACCTGTGAGGTTGATCGACCCACATTCCCTGAATGGAATGTTTAAAACCAAAAGAGAGTGTTATGACATTGTATTAAAATATCCATTTGCACCAGAAAGTATTAAATACTTTGTAATACCGGAAAAAAATCTTCTTCAGTTATTTTTTCATTGGACAACGTCCAGTGAATATCTAATGATAGTGATTAACGTCACCTCCTCAACATAACCTTGTCATCGCCAAATGTTAAAAACAAAAATTTACTTTTGTTTTATCATATATACGAATACCATGTTTTTAGTTATACTTTATACAATGTATTATTAAACAAATATCACTCTATGCGTTATATTTTACAAGTATAATAATATATTATTATACAATTTAACTTTACATTTTTTTAAAAATTAAAATGCATTTTTTACTTCTTCTATTATGTGTGGGAAATAAAAATAAATTGTTGGTTCGCGGAAATTTTTTTTTTTTCTTCTTCACTTTTGTTCTTCCCTCTATCTGGTAAAATGTCTGTTCTCCTTCCATGATAGGTCTGATTTTGTTTATTTGAAGAAAGAGCTCATTAATCACCAAGCATTACTTATCCAATGCGTTCTAAATTTGCTTTACGTTTGGTTTGATTTTGCTTCTTTCATACTTAAATTTGATGTGATAAAGTTTTAATTTCATTTTGACAGGAAGTTGACTATTTTGGGGAAGGGTTTTGTTCTTTCTTTTTTTGAGACTTGTAAAGTAAAAGTTAAATTCATTAAACAATGTAATATATATATATATATATATGAAAAATGATATGAGAACAAACCAAACAACCAAATAAGGCCAAACTTAACATGGCTCGGATACGTCAGATTATTTCCTAAAAGTATAAATGTGTGAGACGTTCCTATCTTTTAGTTTATCTCTTCTTGCTTCTTATAATTCTCAGTTTTTTTTCTCTATTTAATCTTATCTTAATTGATTATGTTTTTGTCTCTCTCCTTTTGATTTTACAAAATTGAAGATAAAAAAATAAAATAAAATTTCTTTATGCTTTGACAATACGGAAGGCACAAAACAACAAACAAAAAAGGGTGTAAAATATATATATATATATATATATATATATATATATATATATATATATATATATTGTTCTTGTCGTTCAAAATTTGTATCCATGAAAATCTCAACACAGAAACTTTAAGAAGATTTACCTGTTTCTTTTCTCTCAATCATATTTTTTTTCTTTAAATATATTTTCATTAGGTAAGAGATTAATGTATCTTGTAATGGCAGCTCTTATGCATATTTATTTATAAAAAAAAACTCTCTTTGCATATTTTTCATTGAGAGATTTCTTCTTAAAAGATTTATGAATCATAATTTTAAGAGAAGAGCAGGTGATCTTAAAAAATGAGAGAGGATAAGAAGGTATTTATATTCGTTGCCTTGTTTGGAGGTATAATCTTACATGAATTTTAAGTCTTCTCTTTATAATACTTTTGATATGTTTATACGTTCCATTCAAACATTTGGACCCACTTTCAGGCAAGAATTAATCTCTTGGAGTTCATTATAAAGGAGAAATTTGACCACTAAATTTCGAGAGAAATGATAGATAAGAATAATTGACGAAGAACTAAGGAAGAGTAGAAAGAGAAAAAGGAAAAGACAAAAGTTGTATGTGTAAATTGAAAGCTTGGTAAATATGATTTAATTGCCAAGTTAACTTTTTTATGGACCAATGCAACGAGGGAGTAATTGGGAATTTTTAATTTTTTTTATGAGTATTTAATACTTTCTCCATCTGCACATATTTAGAAATTAAAGTATTGAAATATTTCCATTTTAACCATGAACATAGATGTCTGTTACTGTTATTAGGGAACAGAGGACCAAATTAAACAAAACTAGTAAATGAGAAAGTTCATGTGAATGTCTAGCAAACACCATTTCCCCAAGCCATCCAAAAACATTACCACCTAATTAATTTTGTAAAGATGCGATCACTGCGGTGCTTCTAATCAATGAGTGCACGCTTTTATAATAAATAGCTTCGGAGTGTTGTAAATCTTCTCTCATTCATTTTGATGTCATGTCACGGAGTGAGGAATTTATTTTGAAGGTGATAATATGAGTCACAAACGTATTTAGGGACAGATGCACATTCATGGTAGTGGGGGCAATTGTCTCACTAATTTTTTTTTTTGTTTATAGTAATTATCCTTATAACTTGTTTATTTTCAGTAATATACGCATTAAATATTACGTATGTCCCTCATGAATTTTTTTAAAAAATGTACTATTGTCTATGTCCCTCATGAATTTTTTAAAAAAATGTACTATTGTCCCTCTTACCTTACATCTTGGTTAACGTATTAATCACTATGACTAAATTTTGAGGTGATTAAAAATTTTTTATTATTTTTTTCATTAAAAATTTTTAGTGAACTAAAACCCCTACCATTTAAAAGTGTTTTCTTTTTGTTAGTAGTACTAAATAAATACAGTATTAAAAAAAGAAGAAGATAAAAGCATTTTTTAGTGGTTCCCCAACAATCCCCGCTTATCTAATTTACACAAATTAGGATTGGAATATTGGGCCGGATTGAAATGGAATTGATTGCAAGTGGCGGAACTGCGTAGTGAGTGTTGTTGGTGCCTGGCCCAACATTTTGAACCGGCAATGAAATAGGGCTCCACTAGAAAATACCACATTGGCGCGAAAACTACAGAGTTCCCGCCATTTATAGCATCCAAATCATTCCCTCTCACTGAGTGCGAGATTTAGAGAGAAAAAGAGCTTCACTGAGGTCGAGATCCATAGCGAGAGATGGAGGAGGAACAACCAATGGTCGCCGGAAGACGGAGGAACAGAGGAGCCGGCGCGGCAGCGCGAGCTGACGCCCTAGAGCGTCTCAAAGCTATCCGCCGCGGAGGCCGACGCTCCGACGGTGGCGGGTTCCAGATCAAAATGGAAGATCCCATCTACGACACCGTGGAGGAAGATGAGTACGATGCGCTGGTTGCGAAGCGTCGAGAAGAAGCTCGAGGGTTCATCATTGACGACGATGGTCTTGGCTACGGAGACGAAGGGCAGGAAGAGGATTGGTCTCAAACGGGTCTCCCTCCGTCATCAGATGAATCCGAAGGTGAATCAGAGAAACCCAAGAGGAAGAAGGCGGAGAAGAAGGACCCGCCACCCAAAAAGCCCTCTGCTTTATCGGCTGCCGCGGCTTTAATGGGTAAGCAACGACTCTCTAGTATGTTCACTTCTTCAGTTTTCAAGAAGAAGATGGACGATAAGACAAAGAATTTGTCATCTGATAGCATTGTTGATGATGTAATTGCGGAATTCGCACCCGATGAGGCTGACCGAGAGAGGCGACGGAGGGTACAGCCATCTTCTTTGTCGGGTTCCAAGATTTTTGCGCCAATTGATATGGTTACTTCCGTCAAGATTGAGAAGCCACCTGTTGATTGTGTTAGTTTGATGGCTAGGCCTGAAATCACCTGTGTTACTACGAATAGTGATTATGTGTTCGATAATGTGCAAAAATATGATATAATTGAGGAAAGGGATTCGTCCAAGGAATTTGAAAATGGGAAAGATTTGAACATTGAAATGTGTAGGGAGACTCAGAAACCAGAGACAAAATTGCACGAGTCCTCAACAAAAGGAAGTGCCGTTGAGGAGAGTATGCCTAATGGCATTGAAGTGAAGTCAGAGAAGAAGGAAGAGGTATATACTCTAAATGCAAAAATCAAGGAGGAAAAGGACCCTAAGTTGAGTGCGACTTTTGGGTGGCAGGCAGTGAGGAATGCAGGAAATGGGTCTATCTCTTGCAATGGAGTAGAAACAAACCCTAGTTTTAGCTGCGAAGAAAAACTGGATTTCGAGTTGGATTCTGACGGCTCACTGCCTTTTTACATACTTGATGCTTATGAGGAGAACAATGGTGCTAATATGGGCAATCTCTATCTCTTTGGCAAGGTATCTTCTCTTTTCCTTTTCTCCCACTTCAATTTGACATTTCTCAGTATATTACAATGTTTTCATGGTACATGTGTTAAGATTGATACACGAACATGACTAATTCATTTATAATTTTATTCAGAATATGTTGAAAACACTGTGTCGTCACTGGCTTATTACTTATATGTAGGTAGTTTAATCTTGTTTTTCTTCTATTATCTGTAAGTTATTTGACGAGATTTTCAGATATAACTATGACTAGCTGCGTACCTACTATGAGAGTTGATGAAGAATTAATTCAACTAATGTAAACAATATACTTGGCACTATAGTAGCATTTTGTTGTTTTTTTCTTTCACCCATGGGCATTTGATCTCTGCAGTTGGATTTTTTTGGTAGGGCAGTAGGATATCATGTATGACTTTAAGATATAGCTAAGCCAGCAAGTTTTCCCATAGGTCTAGATGGTAGAAGTTGATATGTGTTTCAGTCTGGCTGTATTTTGAGTTTATGAACTCGTTTTTGGTAAAAACATAAGAAACCATATGCAAAACTGGCTAATTCTACGTATAATATAGGTATAGATAGCTTTTCTTTGTTCCATTTAAGTGCGTGCTTGGCACGTCTTCATATTACTCACATGCGTCAGTGATAGTTGCAAATCCTGAAACAAACACTTGAATCAAGGAGTGAAAAATGCCACTTTCATGAAGCCTTAGCTCAAGAAACATGCAAGAACTTATCTGACCTCAACGATTCTCGGTTTCTCAGTGGCATGATTATGGACCTTGAGAAAGATAATATGTTTCAAACATTGGTAGCATTTTGGTGCTGGATAGTTTTAACTCTTTAAACCTGTGACTTGGCATGTGTATGTGCTCAATTATCATGATGGTTGACAGTCTCTCATTTCAATATAGGTCAAAGTAGGAAGTACATATCACAGCTGCTGTGTGGTCGTAAAAAACACGCAGAGATGTGTCTATGCAATCCCAAAATGTTCTTTGTTTCAGAATGACATGATTATGAAGCTTGAGAAAGATGCTGAAAAGTCTAGAATTTCTCCTACAGCTTTCCGTACAAAGCTCCAGGTATATTTATAGCCACAGCATGCTCACATTTTTTTTTTTTCAATTTTTTTTCGCATTTTGTGTTGATTTGCTTCCATTCTTTGATTTGCTAGGAGATGGCATCGGGATTAAAGACTGAAATAGCAAAGCAGTTGTTGGATCGTAATGTTTCAAGTTTTAGCATGGCACCTGTTAAGGTTTGCAGATTTAATTTAATCAATTTCATATGTCAAGATGTATTCTATAACTAACATTTGTACCATTTAGTTTTGTCATAAAATTTTCTCTTTATCTTTTATTTTACCGTTGTTGCTCATTTATTGTGTTGCTTGAACATGTTGTAGAGGAATTATGCATTTGAGCGATCAGACATAGCTGTTGGGGAGAGTTACAACCTCAAGATCAATTATCCATTTAAGGTATTCTGCTCAATTTTAAAATTAAACAAGTTATTTTAGACCATTCATTACCATGTTAAATCTGTCAATTGGTTATACGATTTCCAAAAATTGAAATTCAGATATCCATCATTGCAGGACCCACCACTTCCCTCAGATCTCAAGGGAGAAACTTTCTCTGCTTTACTTGGCACTCATTGCAGGTAAGTAACAAGAGCTGGTTCTCCATGCCTGTTGTTTCTTGTACATGTCATATTTTGAATTGTTTTCTTTCTGAATATTTTTTTACTTTTAGCATACCTCTGTAAGTATGGACTTCTGATAGCACAGACTACAGACTACCTCTTTATTGATCCATAAGAACAGCTTATTTAGGATTTTGTACTTCACAAATTTAGTCATCAGCTGCATATGATGAGAGTTTCTGATTTGTGCCTGTGATTCCTTGAGATGCTCAGGAAGAACGCATTTCCTATTTTACCTATTTCACAAACAGTGCAATATTGATTTGAGAAAGGAATGAAGATGGACAGATAAGTAGATGGAATGGTTTGTGCAATTAGCTGTATTGCTCAGCGACAAACCACAAACCTGATGTCCTTTTATTCATATGGTAAAGTATTGTTTCTAGGCTGATTTCGTGATAACAATGGAAGAATCTGTTCATGGTCAGTCAACTTTTGAATATGGATGAGTGCCTATTTTTTCAATTTTTTACCTACCAAAATAATAACTTTTTCAGAAAAAAACTCCCCTTTTTGTTTCCCTATTATTATTATTTTTTTAATTTTTTTTGTTGCTATAATTCTCATCATATCAAATTTTATTTATGTTATCGAAAAGAGGAGAGAGCTTGAAAGTGGCCCTTCTGAAATTGACTTTCACATTTCACTAATCTACATATGTCGAACTTTTTATGCGTTATCACTTTAGAGTCCTGAAACAGCCTTTTATTTTTCCTTCATTAAGAAGATTAACCAATTAGAACTACGTGATAAATTTGGCTTCTTCCAAACTGGGGGTTGACTGATAGTTCTCCTAGGTTCAATACAAGTGCGGGGATCCCTTATATACTTGTTATGAGCTCAATGATCCTGCACTTCTCCAGTTAAGTTACTCTTCATAGTTTCCCGAACTATACTGGGAATAAGAAATATTAAACCTTGAAGTTCACTTTGCTCTTTTCTATTCAGGTGTGTAAATTATTTTCTTGTTAAATTTATTAACGTAGTGAAAATTCTTTTGGCATTATGTGTGCAGTGCATTGGAGCTTTTTCTTGTTAAGAGGAAGATAAAGGGACCTTCCTGGTTATCAGTTTCAAAATTCTCTGGCTGTCCAGCTCCTCAGCGTGTGAGTCTCCAAATTTTATGCTTGTGTTTTATGCCTTCTTGTAGTTCATTTAAACATATTATCAGTTGACAGTAACAGCTTAGTTTACATTCTGGTACAGGTAAGCTGGTGCAAATTTGAGGTTATTGTCAATAGTCCAAAGGACATACAAATTTCTACTTCCTCAAAGAATACAGCAGAGATTCCTCCGGTGGTTGTTACCGCAATAAATCTGAAAACTATCATCAATGAAAAACAAAATGTCAATGAAATTGTTTCCACATCTGTCATCTGCTGTCACAAGGCCAAGGTACTTCAGATTTAGTTTGTTGGTTGTATTGGTTACCACATGGTTAATTAGTCTTGGGTGGATGGTCTGGGTATAGTGCCAGGAAATCAAGGGCTTTGTCTCAGTCACCAGTCATTATGCATTTCTAAAGTGAACTTTTTTAGCAAGTTTACTTTGGGCATCAAATTAAGGTTCATAAAATATTTGATTTTTGAAAGAGTTCAAAGTGAATTAAACCTCATGAAATCCTGTTCCCAAAGAGTCAATTTCTTCTTTTTCTCCTTTGCATGTGGGCAGATTGACTAACCATATAAATGTTTTTGATACTAGAAATGTTATGTCTAGATTTGACTAATTGAATGGTTTTTGTTAGATCCATTGATTTGGTCCTAGGAAGCACAAACACTTGTACGAAGGAACCGTATCAGTGTCGCATTCATGTTAGACACCAACACTCCATGGACATGCGTCCGATGCTTCATGTATGTGTCCATAATTTAAAATTAAATGTAACTATTTTGGAATATTTCCCAGACACTTGGCCAACACTTCCAAGACATCCCTAATACAAGTCTTGTGAACACGTCTGGAGTAGCCATATTCAACGATCTTGGAAATAATATGAGCAAAGTGTCCAACTTTCTTCTTTAGAGAAATTGGCGTTATACACAAGGTTATATATTCATAATTGAAGCATACGATGATATCTTTTCATATAGAACAAAAACAATAATTGTAACGACAAAGTAGTGGAACAATAGCATATATGATATAACGATAATTACAATAATCGCATAACTCCATCTTCTAAATTATGTCAAAGTAACTCTAAGTATATAAATTAGAAATGAGTTAAAGTTTTTATAATAGTCTTACTCAATAGATATATCTAAAGTATTTATAGCTGTGCCTACACCATATTAGTGTCCTAATTTTTTAGGACTTAACATGTCAGACATGTCCATGTCTAAGGTTCACCTAGATACATCTAGTTTCATTGTCGTATGCATTCTACTTTAATCTAAGTTCAATGTAAAGTCAGAATCCAAATAGCGTTGGTTATGTTATTTATTTCTGCTGCAGTTGATGCTTGAACAGAAAATGTTAAATTGAATTAATTTCATTTAATGTAGTATCATACTAAGGCCAGCTGTTAATTATATGATTGGACCTTATAACAGATTGACACGCCCACATTAGCCTCAGAATGGACAAGGCCTGGTAATCTTAGCCATTTTACTGTCGTGCGTAAGCTTGAGGGGGGCATATTTCCGATGGGATTTACTAAAGAGGCCACAGATAGAAATTCCAAGGCTGGATCAAATGTCATCAGTTATGAAAGCAGGTATGTTTAATTTGTAAATTATGTTCATTGCCAACTGTTTCCTTTATCTGAGTGTCAACTTTACTGGTAACATTATTTGTTCCAGTTATAGGCATTGAAGTATTCGGTATCTTAACCTTTTTGTATAATACTGCAGTGAAAGAGCTCTATTGAACCGTCTGATGATTGAATTACATAAATTGGATAGTGATGTTCTTGTTGGACACAATATTTCTGGGTTTGATCTGGATGTTCTTCTTCACAGAGCTCAGGTGGGAATACTGATGCAAATCTTTTTACATATTAATGTATTCTATATACTCGTTGCTGTACCTTTAATTTTTAATAATCATGGATCGCATGCTGGGCAGTTTACATTTTTTATTTTTATCAATATGATGATAACTATAGTAACTTTAAGTCTGGTTAGAATCTGAGGCAAGGAAGATGGAATCCAACTGCTGACCAGATATATTTTCTATTTGATTTGTATGATGCCATTGAGTGAAGGAGGGGAGCAAAATTTCTACACTGAAAGGCCATCAGCCAATGTGTATACCCCTACACGTGGTGTGCTCGAGAGGGTGTGCTGGATTCATACCTAGCCTTGAACTTATATGCATAAAGTGGATGCTTTTGGACTTGAACTTGCATTCTCATGCGTGATAGCATGAGCTATATTTATTGCTTCAAGCAATGCCCTAAATTGCTTTTCATTGTTTAAAGCATTTGCCCTAAATTGCTTTGCTGTTGAGTTAAATGCTTTATTCAAACAGATCAATGGTTATACACTAGGTTTTTACAGTTTCACTATTTTTGTAACCATCAAACTTCACATTACAATTTTTTTTTTTTTTTTTGGCGTCTTCTTCATTGTCCTTCTCCAAATACAATTTGCTGTTGCCATGACCATCTGGTGTACTCATAATGGGCTGCCACTGTATCTTAGATGTCCATATATCTTTTACTTAATGATGCAGGCCTGCCGAGTGCCTAGTAGCATGTGGTCCAAAATAGGCCGTCTCAAGCGTTCTGTGATGCCTAAGCTTTCTAGAGGAAGCACCATTTTTGGGTCCGGGCCGAGTCCAGGGATTATGTCTTGCATTGCAGGCCGCCTATTATGTGATACATTTTTGTGTTCACGTGATCTACTAAAAGAGGTACAGTAGTAGCTGCTTGTTATCTCATGAAGGCCTTTGATAATCTCAGTATGATTTTTCAGATATGAAATCTGCCTTTTCCAGGTCAGTTATTCTTTGACACAGCTTGCAAAGACTCAGCTGAATAAAGACCGGAAGGAGATCGCTCCACATGATATTCCCTTGATGTTTAAAACTTCCGAATCCCTTATGGAACTTGTAGGTTCTTATGCATAATTTAGATATTTTGAATTACCGTCATGCTTTTTTTTCTGAATTGACATGGAAATATTGGATTTGATTAGTTTTTGTAGATTCCAATAGTAGTTTGTTAAATTACTGGACAGTTGAGAATATTGAGAAAATTCAAATTAAGAAAGAGAAATGAAGGATAGTATGTAAGATAGTACCATCTTACATGTTGGTTGGCTGCCATTTTTATTAATGAAAAATATTATGGTTGCCACAATCAGTGAGTTTAACTACTTTCAATGATTCCAAGGAAAAGAACGAAAAAAAATCCATTGCAGAGCAATGGACTATCATGTTAATACTAGCAATGCTCCCTTCTTGCTCCGTCTAGAGCAGAGCGTCATGATTCTATTAGTCTCTGACTCTCTGCTGACCAGATGAGCTAAAAGTGATGTAGTCTAGCTTTTTGGCTGAATGATCTTGAAATTTGTTTCTCTAGAGGATGGTAAAACTGTTAACTATGCCTATTATGGTTGGAAATTAGTACTGCTCTTTGATGCATCAGCACAATATGCTTCTGATGGTGTATGTGATATATTCAGATTGAATTTGGCGAGACAGATGCATGGTTATCAATTGAACTCATGTTTCATTTAAGTGTTCTTCCCCTCACGCGACAGCTAACTAATATCAGTGGTAACCTTTGGGGAAAAACACTCCAGGTGAATAGTTGCAATATTATTCCAATTATCTACTACTTTTACAAGTTCTGTTTGTGGACTTTACCTAGAAACTAAATATTATCTGTAAAATATGCAATTTCAGGGTGCCAGGGCACAGAGAGTAGAATATCTTTTGTTGCATGCTTTCCATGCAAAGAAATATATCGTCCCAGACAAGTTTTCTTCTCATCCAAAGGAATTAAAAGTGACAAAACGTAAACTGAATGGTGCTGAGGACAAAGAAATGGATGATTTGGATGTTGATAATGCAAATTTTGAAAATGAATCACCACAAAATGATAATAGGAAAGCTAAAAAGGGGCCTGCCTATTTAGGTGGATTGGTTTTGGAGCCAAAAAGAGGTCTATATGACAAGTATATATTACTTTTGGACTTTAATAGTCTCTATCCTTCAATCATTCAGGTTTGTCATATTTCCTCATTTCTCTTCTCGGTCCCTCCCCCCTCCCCATATTTGTTGATTTATATGTGCCATCGGTTGTCATTCTATAACCTTTTTTTATTATTCTCTTATTGTTTTGTGATATATATCAGTGCAGTTTTTTCGTAATATAAGATGTATATTCATACTAATCTTTTAACAGGAATACAATATATGCTTTACAACTGTTGAAAGATCTTTGGATGGATCATTTCCTCATCTACCATCTTCTAAAAAGACTGGAGTTTTACCAGAGGTAATAATACCTCATGATGCATTTTTATGGTAATTGAGGATAGTGGAACTTTGAAACTGTTTTGAATCCTTATATATTGCATCTCAATGAGCAATGAAAACTTCAAATTCTGATATCCAGTATATATAATAATATTAGGGGGGACAACTGTAATTTTAAGGGGAAAGGTTGAGATTAGGGTTCTTAGCTTCAATACAGTTTTATTATGATGAGAACCATGACTACATTTTTAAGGTTTACTTCTTAGTTTAAGTCGAAATAAAGTGGATTTGATACTCCAACCTTCATGTCAAGAACCATGCATTCCATGGTTCGTATCTCCTTTTGTGATTTTGAAAAAAACATTTAATATTATATATTAAGTTTATCGGACGTCCCGTCATGACAAATTTTTGTGTTTTCCTTTTCCTTCAGATTATTAGCTTACATATTTGTGAAGTAATCAATTTAACAATTAAGTTAATCAAAGGTCATGGGAAATGGCTGAATACTGGGAGCTACATAATTATGATTTTGATAAATCATTTAACTCTATCATGTTATATTATTTAAGCATCATTTGTTTCTTAATGGCTGGAAGATTTTGTCACCTTGCAGCTTTGTATTTTGGCATTTTTACGTTGTTGGTTTGACTTTCCAATAGTTTTAAAGATCATTTCTAAATCCATGATGAATCTGCTCAATGGGCTCGTTGAAGTACTTGTATAGCTTAATGTCTCAGTGGCATAGATTGCAAATTCTAAATCGATCAAATTACATTCTAGAAATTGAATAACCTTTCTTCATCACCATATGGAAAAATGCGGAGTAGATATGTCAAGTCTAACAATAGGCTACCTGTTAAGTGTACTACAGAGGCATAGTGGACAGTGTATACCTGATATACTAAGATATTTTTCTTTTTCTTTTATTTTATTTTGCTTTTGCTTTTGCTTTACTTCTTTTTTATGAGCATATTTACATTCAAAATTGTGGTTATGGTCACTTGTGTTGGGAAACTGAGATATTTGTTATTTTTACGTCTATGTTTGTGTTCTTAGTTTATCTTAGAAATCACAGGAATCAGATCTTGTTAGCTTTGATCTATTTATTGAAAATAGAATGAGATGCTGTTGGATAAAGCATGCATCATTACACTGAGTACCATGAAAATATAGAATATACATGGAAATACAAGATGATGTAAACCTTATGGCCAGCAAATTATTTTTGAAGAAAAAAGGGTTATTACTACTCCATTTCGGGAATTGTGCCATGCACTTATGTAAAGCATTACAATTTTCTTTCTGCAGAAATGAGAGAGAACAGACTTGCGTGTTACCTTTTGCTGGATCTTTTTCTTTTTATTATTACATAGTATAAGATGCAGCCTCACTAATTGTTTCTAAGATCTAATTCTGTTGAAAGCCATCAATTTATGGTTCTGTTCCTCTCATGAAATGCATAGCTTGACGGGTTCTTTGCATTTTGAACATTCTTTTGTAAGCAGAGCAAAGCAGTTCCTTTGTAATCCAAACTCTGCTAAATATAATTTTCTTTTGCGGTGGCATGTACCTTTTAGATGCCTTTCTTTTAGTAACAATGGTTTATACTATTCACATGGTTTTTGTAGTTACTGAAAAATTTGGTTGAAAGAAGGAGAATGGTAAAGTCTTGGCTAAAGACTGCATCTGGTCTCAAGGTTCAGCAGCTAGATATACAGCAGCAAGCACTTAAGCTCACTGCAAACAGGTCTGTGCTTAGCTGTGGTGCCTCATTTTCACATCTTTCACCATATCCTATTGTAGCTCTTTGTTTGTTGCTTTAATGGTCCTTTCTTTAATTTTCTCCCCAACCTAATTCGGCATGCAGTATGTATGGATGCCTGGGGTTTTCCAATTCCAGATTCTATGCAAAGCCACTTGCAGAGCTTATAACATTACAGGTAAGAAGTTTGCATTTTTCTGCTGAAATTGCAAAGTGACTTGCTCAAGTGGGCAAATTTTGGTCGAATATTGTATGCTTGTGATATTATTGAACATCTCTCTCTCTCTCTTCTTTTTTGCTGTGCAGGGAAGGGAGATCCTTCAAAGTACTGTTGACCTTGTTCAGAATCATCTAAACTTAGAGGTTACCTCTTTGTACTAAGATTCTGGAATTTTATGAATGTATATTTAATGTTTGTATCTGTGTTTCCACATTTGAGTCCTTAAATTGTTTTGGCTCCCATGTGTTATCTTGTATCTGGCAGGTGATCTATGGTGATACAGATTCAATTATGATTTATAGTGGACTTGATGATATTCCAAAAGCCAAAGCAATTGCAGGGAAGGTCATCCAAGAGGTTCGGTTCGGTTTGGTTATAAAATCGATTAAGTTTGTTTGAGATTCTCTCTGTACATGTTGTGCATAGTGTTTCCTCATTAATAGGTCATCAGTTTCTTTGCTGTTTTCTCGGCAGAGTTTCTCTGTTAAAATTCAACTAGGCAAATATGATTAAAAAATGTAGCAAATTTGCAATTTCTGCATCCACTATAAATTATATAATACACTCTTTACACCAAAAGATTTTTTGATGAGGGTTTAGATGACCCTAAGAATTTAATTTTTTTTTTTCTATTGCCTTCTCTAGTTGAACACAAGGACACTTTGTTACTTACTGGCATGCACATCTGTTGAACTGCTACATCATTTCAATAGATTTCTTGATGTTTTGTTGTTCTAATGCATATGTAACTTCCTTTCTATTACATTTTAGGTAAACAAAAAGTACAGATGTCTAGAAATTGATCTTGATGGCTTGTACAAGAGAATGCTACTTCTCAAGAAAAAGAAGTATGCAGCTGTCAAAGTGCAATTTAAGGATGGGACACCATATGAGGTGCTTCTTTGATATTTTTCTAGTTCTTTTTATAACTGGGTTTAAGATATCCCTTTCTTGACGCATGCCTGTGAATGCGCTTTGTTGGCACAGATTATTGAACGGAAAGGTCTTGACATGGTTCGTCGTGACTGGAGCTTGCTATCTAAGGAATTGGGAGATTTCTGTCTGAGTCAAATATTGTCCGGAGGGTACATTAAATTTACTTTTTTATATCGTTCTTTCCTTTTCTGTGTATTTGTGGTGAGCTGGTAATCCATGAAAGATAAGTTACTATTGTTTATACCTCATTGTTGACATGGCTCTTATACTTGCAGATCTTGTGAGGATGTTGTTGAATCAATACACAACTCTCTAATGAAGGTAAGATCACGACCTTGTGTGTAATTTCATCACCTTAATTTGAAATTTTGATGGTATTTGGTGCTACATTCTGCATAAAAGTACCGACAAGTTAATTGACCAGAAATTGTGACTGAACAGGCTCAAGCACTGTGACTTTGAGAATGCATGATTAAGGAATTTGCTTAAAACAGGAAATATTAGAAGGGAGAAACTTTTAAATTGAAACCTCTCTTTTGAAATGTAATTAAGCTGATCCCGGTTTTGAGCACATTTGATAAACAACCAGTAGGTGGTGTTTAACATATTCAAAATGCCTTGGGCTAGTAGATCTGCTATCTAAGCAACTCTCAATTGTATATTTAGCACTTTATAGGTTGAACTGGCTAGCCTAATCGTGCTTTAGAAAAGGTTGTTGGAGAATTTTATGGATTCAGTATGCATGCACATGTAACAGGTACAGGAGGAAATGAGGAACGGACAAGTAGCACTAGAGAAATATATCATTACAAAGTCATTAACTAAACCTCCAGAAGCCTATCCAGATTCCAAAAGTCAACCTCATGTTGAAGTGAGTCCATTTCATTTATTTGGCTAGTATTACCTTTTCATTTGAAAACATCTTTCATTTATATTATGGGGTTATTTTATAATTTATCCAGCCCGCATAACTGCTTGGGACAACATGTCAATGTGTCATTTTCTAGGTAGCACTTAGATTGAAGAAAAGTGGATACTCTACTGGTTGCTCTGCTGGTGATACAGTTCCTTACATAATCTGCTGTGAGCAGGTCTGTCATGCGGGTGTTTTCTGTTTTCTGCTATTATGGAACTGAATGTACTATAATGTAATTCCCAACATTTTGCAATATAATCTGTCATAACTAGTCTTTGTGCATGTTTATCAACAGGGGACTAGTTCAGGTACTTCAACAGGGATTGCTCAGCGGGCTAGACATCCTGATGAATTGAAAGGAGACAATGGAAAATGGATGATTGACATAGACTATTACCTGTCCCAGCAGGTCTTGCTTACAATTCATTAATCATTATCATGCATAGTTATTTACATTGGTTCTTCATTACCTCCATAGTCCAGCTTGCTTGAGAAAATCATTTATTCTTGTTGTACAGATTCATCCTGTGGTATCACGTCTGTGTGCGTCAATTCAAGGTACAAGCCCAGCACGTTTAGCTGATTGTTTAGGGCTTGATTCGTCCAAGGTAAATAGCATCTTCTCCCCAGAATGGCTTTTATATTTGGAGATAGAGGTTTTTTGCAGTGATAATATAACTAAAATCATAACAATGGGTTCTTTCAGTTCCAAAGTAAATCAAGTGAAGCTGTCAACGGTGATCCTTCCAGCTCACTCTTGGGTGCAGCAGATGATGAGGAGAGGTAAGTGTTTCTTATCTAAAAGATGCTATAATTGCTCTTCCATAATAATTTTTGAAAAGGTTTTGATATAACCTCATACTTCCATCGAGTTTGAGGGTATTTAACTTAATTTATTGATGTAAATCTCAATATATCATTATTCATGAAGGTTCCATAGATGTGTGAATAATAAATTTGGAATTATTTATGAAGCTCCCCGAATGAATCCAGTTGGGAAAAATTGTATTGCCTCGCACTGATTAATTACACATTTTATTCCTCAACTCCAAATAATTTTTCCTTGTCTAATCATTTTTTTTCCCCATCACTAATCTTCCTGATTTCTTTCTGATTATCATTCTGGCTTGTAGTTAAATTTTGGTTCCTTAGACTTGATGCAGTTGAATATAATAGATTTTCTCCAAAGAAAGAAAATATTGATGATCTGTGAACTGAATTGCAGATACCGGGGTTGCGAGCCTTTGACCTTATCATGTCCAAGCTGCTCTGGTTCTTTTGACTGCCCGACTCTGTTTAGTTCTATATGTTCATTCATCAGTGAAAAGCCAACAGATTCACAACCAGGGGAATCTACTAGCAATTTCTGGCGCAAATTGCGTTGCCCTAAATGTCCAGAAGAAGGTGATGAGGGTAGAATGTCTCCTGCATTGATAGCCAATCAGGTAATTCTTGACTTGGCCAATTTGGACTCAAGATTTGAGTGTGTTCAGAAAATTCAGAATGTGAAACCTAAGCCTCTATAAGCATTATGCTTATAATATCAAGTTCCACCTAAGTGATCTTAGTGGTAAATGTAATGACCACCTCATAATTTTTGGACTATCTTATCTCATTCTATAACCCTGGAGAGGAGAGCGTTTAGGTACTCAGAAAGCCTTAAAATCATGAATATACGTACATCCTATGTTGTTGCTGAATTTGTACCACCTTGCCGCCATAATATCTCCTGTTAATACTGGTGGAAGCCCTTTTATTATAGTGTTTGGTGTTAAACATTTGCTGAAATTTGTTGACTTCCTACATCTGTCAGGTCAAAAGGCAAGTTGAAGGGTTCATGTCAATGTATTATAAGGGCTTAATGACGGTACGTACTTGTAGATTATTGTGCTGAAAGTAAGATTGTTCTGCAGAGAATTTATTAGCTTATCAATAATTTGATTTAATTAATGTCAAATTTCTGTTTAGTGTGATGATGAAACTTGCAAGTATATTACACGTAGCCTGAACTTGCGAGTAGTTGGTGATTCAGAAAGAGGAACAGTATGTCCAAATTATCCTCGCTGTAATGGGCACCTTGTGAGAAAGGTTTTCACCTCACTCCCATAAACTCTAAAGAGTATGATTGTTCTTTTCAAAACATCTTTCTTTACTTACAAATTGGTAATGAAATTTACCTGCATCAGTACACGGAAGCAGATCTGTACAAGCAACTTACATATTTTTGCCATGTCTTGGATACCGTACGCTGCATTGACAAGGTTACTAATTCATTCAACTCTGTCTATTATTTCGAATTGGGCATCAGCATTCATTCCTAGGATAGTTAGGATGCCTTATTGGAAGTGAACAGTACTTGCATTTTTTTAATACTGTGGGAGTTTCAGGTAGAGGGTAGCATCAGAATACCCGTTGAGAAAGAACTGGCAAGAATCCGGCCACTGGTGGATTTGGCAGCGTCAACAGCACAGAATATCCGGGATCGGTGTGCCTATGGCTGGGTGCAGCTGAAGGACCTTATTGTCACAATTTGATTGCTAAAATGGCACACATCACTATGTTAGAAGTGAGGTGATTCTTATACATAGGCTCTGTGAAAATTGGATGTCAACGCTAGTCGATGCCTGAAATGCTTCATGTATTACTAATAAATAAATCCTTGGCCTACCTATTGAGGGCTACCCATGTAAATATTTGTTTCACTAATATTTCATGTGGCTGGCTGTATTAGCAATATTTTCATCCTTGGTCGATCATCTTATACATCATTCTGGTTATAACCAAGTCCAGTTCTGCTTAAATATTTCTGGTATATCCATTTCATGAAACTGTTATAAAAGCATCTATCAGTGAACTTTATATTTGGACGCTGTTTAATATTTCATTAGAACCAAATAATGGCTCCTTGAGCTCTATAATTGGTGAATGAATCTGCCAACACTTGAGTGCACTCGCCCCAAAATCAGAAGGATGAATATAAGAATTCGATACAGGAGGTTGGTGAAATTAGATGTTCAATATTTGTATAATCATGAGTTATATTTTACAACAATCCACCCAAATCCGTTCTGAATTCTTGGTAAAAACCTATTTTAAGTCGCTCATGGCAAATATAGAACTTTCTTGGAGTAAAAACCAAATTATTGGACTTAAAACTAGTGAGAGTAAAAATGGTAAACTAAACAAATTTTCTTTATTAAGCAATACGGGAAAAAAAATCACAGTTAATCAATTACAGAGGTATGTATCTCTGTATTAAACATATATATGCCAACTATTTCAGGCTCCTCCAATTTCAATGGATTCATAACTCCTGTTTTATTTGATGTTCTCGCAGTTCATCTTGTCCATACGTCATCACTGCAACTCCCCAACAGGTGCCTCATTGAGCCATAGGAAATGAATAAATTCGTACAACTTTGCACTTACACTGACCTGCACAGTAATGAAATGAATGTTTTCATAGTTATAACCAGAAAAACTTCACAAAACAGAACATTTTCTGCTATAAATCATGCAAGCAAGAAGCATATTATAGTACCTTGTAAGGTGTTGGGTTCAGTCTCCTCATGTGGTCTGGCCGCATTTGCTCCAGCTGCTTAATACAACGATCCCTGATCTCCTCAAGGGGTGGTAACTCTTCTCTTACTTTATCTTCAGAAAGCCAAAACTGAGTTCAGACAAGTGTAGTTCTCAAAAAAGAGAATGAGAGTTTTTCAAATGGGAGTTGACTATCATTGCTATTTCAACTTCTAAGGCCCCAAAAGTAAAGATAAGGATGCTAAATGGATAAATAATAATAATAAATAAATAAATAAACAAAAACAGAATGAGACCCAGTTAAATATGGTGCATCAAAATAAAGGGGAAATTATGGTGTTGCGTGACCCTTTTTTTTTGAGGAAGGTTTGTTGTGGTGTTTGTTTGCGTAAAAGGAGCTGATTATGAGGGTTTGGTTATAATTACTAACAGGTTCAAAATTTCAAGTATTCATGAAAGTCAAACTTCGGATAGGTAGGAAAGCAGAACATATTAGCTCTGCTCACCCAAAAAGACACTGTAAGTAATTAATTTAAATGTGGAAAGCATGCAAAGATTAAAACAAATGCTTAAAGTCATGGATTAGTGTTGACTATCATAAATATCAGGTCATGTAACCAAATTCTCTCACCTTGGCTGCCAGGCCAAAAGCACTTCAGAAGCTCCTCAACACGCTGGGGCACCACATATGCTCTCTTGGATTCATTAAATGGGTGACGACACAGAATCCGTTCGGATACCTGCAAATAGAATACGAATTAAAAAAAGTTAAACAGGCTCAATGGAAGAGTCAAGACCCGGGAGTTCATGATGAAAACAGTCCAACAGCAGAAGCCTTCTAATTTCAAGATGAATTTGACCTAGTAACAGACATCCCTACTCTCTACAAATAGACATAGCTTAAATAAATACATGAATATACACAAAAATGTGCCTGTGTATATGCTTATTATGTACATATAATGTGTTACACTACTTTAAAATTTCAAGACAAGTAAAACTAGGGCAGTTTTTCAGGAACCACAAGAAACTTTATTCCTATTCTGAAACCGAAAATAATTACAATCTAGACAAAACCTTAAAATAGTTCAATCTAATATTCTAATGCTGTCAAAACTCTGCATATAACTGTGAAGAATGAAATTTTATGACAATGCAGTGGTCTGAGTCAATGATGTATTTTCGTAATAGCCAAAAGTCAAATCAGCTTTGTTGACAATGTTAAGAACAGCTTTTATAATCACACAATATGAATGCCAAAAATCCAAATGGAAACTCCAGAAGAAGATTAACGGGTATGCAGTATGTAGATGAGATACCTTTGGAGGTGGTTCATTTTCCCCCGTCATTATGTCTACAAGGGGGTAACCTTCTTTCCCGTACAATCTGTAACACCGTTTTTTACATGGAATAGAAACCTAAAACCAGAAAATAGTTAACCTCTATGATATAAGCAGAATGCCAGTGAATTATTTTAGTGGTGTGATCAAACCTTTGAAACATCTTCAGAGAGTTTGATACGAGGCTGATTATTTATTTCAACAAGCTTGAATACACATCCTAAAGCGGCTTGAGCATAGCATGTAACCAAGTAAGTTCCAATTCCATATGCATCAACCTCGTGACCCTGTTCAGGAATAGTCATCCAATATAGACATTTAGGTACGAAAATGAATTTTCTTTTTCTTTTTCCTTCTTTCTTCAGTAAACAAGAAAAAGAAAAAAGACAAAAGACAAAAGAAAACAAAGAGAGAAAGAACTCTAAAATTTGTCCAGATACAATAGCTAATAATCAATAAATTGGATAGAAAAATTCTAATTGTATTATTTGAAACCCATTGCAAAAATTTTTGGCAACCAGCCAGTGTGTCTATTTATGGTTTGCCAAGAAGAACATAGAAACATACATCAGACGGGTAAGAAGGATCAGAACTGAAATGATAACTAACCCTTCTTATTATGAGTTGCCCTTCTTTATGAATGGTAGGTGTGATATTGCAAAGGTGACCATGGAAATGTAGATAACATGAATATCAATACCATGGACAGTGTTTAGTTTAAAAATAACATATAAATTTTCATTTATACATGGCGTGAATTATTTAAATTCAAATAAATCAAAAGATAGGAACCTCTTTGGTGCATTTACTTTGCATCGCCATTTTATCCACTGAAACGCATGTTTTGTATTTCACCTTTTTCATTTTCAAATATTTCTTGATTCTATTTGCGGGCAAAAAAATTGTTTGATTCAACTTAAACAAATCTGAATGCTCATAATGTGATTTATTATAGATTCATTGCCTCCTTCAAAGCTTCATCTAGCTAGTTAAAGGTTATAATTTAGAAGAAAATCAGGTAGAAAGAGATGAGCCATCAACCTCATTGTCCAGTCCTATGAGTCTATATGAAAAGAAAAAAGGATAAATTTTTATAAATTACAGATTTTCTTTTCTATGGCAATAACATCCTTTTTTTTTTTCTTTTTTTTCATCCATGTCAAATATGAAAATCTGGAATTTCTAAAAACTTATCCTGCAACATTTTTCAAAATAGAGAATTTTGAGCAAATTTAAACTGCCAGTTTCTTGTAGCTGTGTTTTCCAATGAGAAGAAGAGTTGACACTTTAAATTCGTAAGCTGCAAAGTAGCCCAGTGAACAAATACTTGTATATTTGTCCGGCCTTAGTTTTGTAAATAGACCAAAACTAAAGAACTTTACTCAATATAAAATAATTCTATATAATTTCGTCAATAGAAAAAAATCTCAAAAAAAGCAGACTATCATGTTAGGAACTTGGCAATAAATGGGGGCACACCAGAAAAGATCATTTCAATAAATCTATAAGAGACAAATAAAAATAATTCCAGATTGTTAATAATCAAGACAAATCAAGGCAAAGTTTTTGTTAACCACAAGGATCAATTACGCCATATCAATATAGAGCTAACTAACTGTAGTAATTGGCACCAACATGACCAATTAGAGTATAAAGTTCAAATGCTTATGGTGGCACATTTTCAGTTGTTCCATATATCCCACATAGAATGCTCAGAAACTTTTCAAGTGCAAATATATTTAAATTGTTTCAAGAATACGAGTCTTACCTGTTTGTTTAGAGCATCTAAAGTTTCCTCGTTGAGGTCATTACTAGCAGTAATACTCATCTTTCCAAAACCAAGTACTCCAAATTCCTCCTCAATAGTGCGGAAGAACTTCCGTACCTCACATGACAAATATGCCAAGTCACCAGAGTCTAACCTAATGCCAACTGCTTTGTACCTGCACATAATCTAAGCTCATGAATGAAGATAAAGAAAACAAATAGATATCCAAAGTAATCAAACCACTGAAATTAATCCTGAAAAAGTTATGGAAATGACTGGAAATTCAACAAGGGAAAGAGAGGTACAATCAAATATTTTAGAACATACTCTACTTGGTTACATTTATCATTCAATAATATGTTTAAACAATTTATGTTATCTATCATACAGGTCCATAAAGTATAAGTTTTTGGCACACACATTTTCTGGTTCATGTGAAGGACAAGAAAGCATTTGTGGCAAGAACATGAAGCTAGAGCCCCCATCAATAATAAGGTTTGAGCGAAACAGGTCACAATATCATTTTTGAATTCTGAACAAAAAAGGTAATTGGTAATTATATAAACATTATTTCATGCTCCGGCATAACAATAATAAAACCAATATCGACCGAAACTTTATGAAGCTAAAAGGAAAAAAGAACTGAAATTGGTAGATCAATTATTAGACCCAAACAGACTCCATGCAACTCCAACAAGCCTAGCCCTAACTAACTGAGATCAAATATCCACCACTCTTTTATATCAGTCTTACTACAGATTAGCAATTGTTTAATATCAAAACCATTACATTCTTTCTCAACCACCTTTGCATTCATTCTTTGAACATGCCTTCTAAATGTTCACCAATTTTTACCACAAAGCGATGCGGGTCTGTCTTATAACAAAATGCCTTTTACACTAATATATGTTAATCCAAAACACTCCTGAAGTGGATATGATAGCATGTGGTTTAACTGAGGCTAAGGCCTTAGAGCAGAATGAAAACATAGGATTCATGTAGCCGATCCCAAGTAGTTGGGAAAAAGGCTTGTTGTTGTACAAAACACTCCTGAAGCACGGGCTCCATCCCACAAAGGTTTATTGGCAACACTCAGGAGTGAGATTTTGTGTGTGGGTGGGTGGGGGGTTCATATCCCATTTCTTGTATAATTAAATGTGCTATACCCAATTCAGATGATGCATTGTGTAACTTGGTCATTAAAGGTGAATCATAATGTCAAATGTCTTTTCCAATTCAATCTTACCTAAAGCTTGCAAGTTTTGTGCATATGCATTCAATATATAAATCAAGTTCTATATAATTAAGTTTCTTCTATTTGCATGCATAAATGTGAATATACCCATTTTATTGTAATGTGATCATTGAATGTGAATCATAAAATAGAATGAAATCCAATTCAATCTTACCCAATACTTGCATGTTCTGTGCTTGTGCATATATAAACTAAGTAGTATGAAATTAAGTTCCTTCATTATACAAGTGTACCCGTGATTAGCATCAAGAAGGGATACCTTGAGAAGGTTTTAAAAATTGACAATTGGGAATTCTAACAGCTAGTTTCATAATTTAATTTAGTCCCGTCAAAACTTCGGAAAATATTTGCATCAGGTATATACAAATCCTATAATATATGAACATGCTATTCAAGGAAGTACAACATTATGGGGATTTTGTGACATCTAGGCAGGTTCATAAAAAGGCAGGAATTTTTTGTCCACAGTTGTGCAGATGCCCAGTACATTCATCCTTCAAACTTTCAAATCCAAAAATATGAGCAAGGCATTTGAGATTATAAAATAAATTGAAATCATTATGAAGATTATAATTAAAACGTAGAACTTCTAGCATCTGAAAATATATTATCATTTTGGTATATATTCTTATATAGAAATATTTCCTTCTTGTTAAAAGTATTTTGAGAACCTTTACTAGCAATATGTCTGATGCACTACCAGACTGCTATTATCAGGTATAAGCATTGCACTAAGTTAAAATATAACAATTATTAATCGAAAGTATATACTCAGTAAAATTAATAAGATCCTGAAATCATAAATAGTTATCTAGTCATAAGTTATATACTGCATTAAACAGGCCAAATAATAATTCTGTGTGTCTCATGCATCGTGTTATATTCTTTACAAGCTGGTCCTGAGACTGAAAAAAAAGAAGCGTGCTGCTCTAGGTAGTTCATTTGTCAAAACCCTCAGGATACTGCAAACATGAAGCTAAAGATCACTACTGAACTAGACAGAGACAGATGATGCAATATTATAAAGAAAAGTAACTAATCATGATAACGAAATTCCATGCTCAAAAAAAGATAACACTATTATTGAGTAAAGATGCATTCACAAGAGTAAACCTTCCCGACATACCCCAAATCATTGAGTGCCAGAGCAACTGCACAAAAATTAGGAATTCCTGTCCTCATAACCTGGTAAAAATAGATGCAGCACTTTTGAGTTAAAAGAATGCCAAAATCAATGAGTCGTGTAGACGCTGCTTTATGAATTAGGAAGTAAGAGAACGTGACTTGTACAAAAGAAAAAACTGCACTATTGTAATGAATACTCAATCTAGTTGAAATGCATAGCAACATAGAGCACATGTTTACATATATTCTTATCTACTATCTAAAGTATAAGCATACATCAATTTGATTAAATAACGTGGAAGCAAGGGCAAAGCTAATAAGTTATCAAGGAAGAAAAAAAGATGCATAAAGAGTAAGAAAAATGTCTTTAAACTTTATAGTTGGGATCTTCCTTTTCCTTAGGCTAACAAAATATGGTAATCGTAGTTTATTTAAGAAATCATTAAGGCTTAACCCAGTTAGAGTAACAAGAGTAGCCTGGATGGAACGGACATTAAAAGGAAATCACTCAAGTGAACAATGCTAACTAAATGATCATGACAATCCTGACTTAAATAGCTGATCTTAGACCTTAAAATATAAATATTAAAATGAATTTCAAAACTGATTCACAGTCTTTTTTTTTTTTTTTTCCTCTCCTTTCTATAGATTAATGACTTACAATACTGTTTAACTAAGGTTTGAAATTAGAGATGACTGATTTTTTTGGTTCTTTTGTATAACTAGCATGTGGAGTGGGTGGGGGAAGATGGCTGGATATGGCTGGGCTCTAGACAAGGGACCTTTGAGATGAGATCATCTTATAGGAGGCTGTTGGAGCATCGGGGTTCTTATTCCCTTGGAAGGATATCAGGCACAAAAGCCCCCTCTAAGGTGGCCTTTTTTGGGTGGTCAGTTGCTTCTTGGGAGCATTTTGATGATTGACAACCTAAGTAAGAGGTGTTTAATCGTTGTGAATTGGTGTTGCACGTGCAAGAGGGATGAGGAGATCACTGATCATCTCCTTTTGCTCTGTCCGGTGGCTAGAGATATGTGAGACATGAATCTCGCTATCTTTGGTGTTCGTTTGGTCTTGCCAGGTTCCATGTTGGGCATGCACGAGCCTGGGAGAGGTGAACACACTGGTTTCGCAAGCTAGAGGTGCTTGAAGGGTGTCACATTTGTGTATGTAGTGGGGATTGTCGAGGGAGACGAATGGAAGATCTTTTGAGGAAGAGGAAACTCCTATTCCAGCTTTAAAATATTCTATTTTGAGCTCTTTGTTTTTTGGGTTAAAGGGTGGAATTGTAAATCCTTGGTGGAGTTGATTGATTTTTTTTGATAGTTTGAGAGTATGGAGCATATGGTTGTTTGGTGGGTATATAGATTATTTGTATTTCTTTGGGTGCGCTCCCCTCTAGAGGGCTTTGAATAGAATTTTACTTGTCAAAAAAAACACAAACACACACACACATACACACACACACAGAGCATTATATGCAAAATCAACTGTTAGATGCTAAACAACAAGGGATAAACAGAAGATGACATCCAGCCAGGTAACTAAGAAAATACAACAGAACTGTCATATCAGACATACAAGATTAATTGAAACATTTTGTACTTACATCATACGTGTCTACAAGAGCAAGAAAGCTGTTGGGGAACGCTAGGGCATACGAGGTGAAAGCTGCTAACTCACTCTGATTTGTCTCAACAAAAATGCCATGTAATAAATGTGACCTCTGAAAAGCATCCACAACCCAAACAACTTAAAAATGAGACATGTTAAGTGACAAAGAATTAAGAAACATGGTGTTCAATTTTGTCACAGTAAAGATCAATTTTATTTAAATATTACGAGAAGCACTGATGATGATCATTTACACATTAACCCTTTAAGTCTTGCAGGTCACTCTCACCCCTAAAATGGGATAAATTTAATCAAAATTTTGCATTGGACATTAATTTAGAGCTTTTTGAAACTGTAATTATTTTGTGATATGAAAAGAGACAAAGTTGGATATTTCAGGATATATACAAAGATTCTTGATTAGAACCATGTTACTTCCGGTACTGCAGAAAACAGACAAGTGACTTGACAAAACATAAGAGAATTGAACTCAAAGAGCTGATTGGCATACATGTAACATTGGCACACATACTCTGTCCTCTTTCTACACAATGGCATCACATGTGGCACCAGCTAGTTTTGCCAATAAAAGATCCAGATTTCATCAAGTCATACAATTTAATTATCATTCAAGTTGACTTCCTATTTTTATTATTAGGTACGCATTATTATTTGCAGTGCTATAGTGCTTGGGTTTATAATTACTGTTTGCATTATTGTTCTGTTTTAGTGTTGCACAAAAAAAAAATAAATAAAATGCATTATTGATTACACATGATGCATAATTTTCATCACGAACAAGCTTTCAGTCTGCGAATGCGTATTATAATTGGAGATATGCAAGGGTAATCTCAAAAGAGAAAAAGAAACTCAAAACTAAAATGAACAGAAACAAATGGAAGAAGTATCGTAGTGGAAAAAGAAATGCACAAGTTTTATTCGACTTTTGAACTTGTATATGATAGATCAAAGCATGGTAAGGTAACTTTTACCTGTAATTATAGCATGCACAACTATTGATAGATTGATGACAAAAGCAGTTGAAATAGAGCAGTTGGGTAAAGTTCAAATCACCTTCATTTTGCTTATCCATGTCTGCACCAGACTAACAAAGTCCTCACAAATACTTGAATGATCACAACTCTGAAGTGACTTGTCTATGATCTCATCAGGGCTCTGTAAATCACTGGATTAATTAGGTAAAAGAAATAAACTATGCAAGAAGGGCTGCACAGACAACAGAGCATTAAAATAAGTTATCTTTCTTTTTATTTTGGAATAGAAAGAAAAAAGTGTAGTCAAAGCGGTCAGGCAAATAAATAGATGCTAAGGCAAGGCAAGGATCACAGTTATTGCCTCTAAACACCTCAGACAAGCAGGTCTGCTAACCTAGGTAAGTGCCTTAGATAGGACATCCTGCAATGAGGCTAACACTTCCTCTATTAACAGATGTTTTACATGTATGGCCCCAGTTAAGTGGGTTTTTCTACTTCAATAGGAATAGAATTTTTTTGGGACGGATTTTTACAAAATAAAAAGAAAGTAAATGGTCCAAGCAGCAGCCTTCATGTTGAATTAGGCTAGAATCTGAATCTTGCAGAAAAGAATGCAATAGGGCTGGAATCATGCAAAAGAAGAAAAAGAGAGTATCAAAACAGAAAATTTCATCTTAACTTATTTGTTTTCTACTTGATGTGGACAAGCTTGGTGGCTGAATGATACGAGTTATATCAACTCTTTGACCAACTATTATAATGTTGAACGCACTAGATAGTTATCCAGTACTGGATGGAACATGAGTGTTAAATGAAAACTGATATCAGTACATGCAGTTTAAGTTGAATTTAGAAGACTTTACATCTAATGTATTTGTTCATAATTTTAAAAGCCAGGGCTCCTTCTGGCCTTAATTACACTGGTTGAAAACATGATGTCCAACGGATGGATATATATCTGAACATATGCACAAAAAGAGCGATGCGGGTATGAGAATGTTGAGATGGATGTGCGGCAAGACAACAAAGGATAGAAGTAGAAATAAACACATTTGTAAGATGGTTGAGTAGCATCCACTGGAGATAAATGAGAGAAAAATCATTAAGATTGTTTGGACATATGCAAAGAGGGCCACTATGCTAAGTTTGGTAGGAAGGATGAAAAAATGGATGGAATGGAGAAAGGGAGGGAAGGATGAGGAATCCCTTCCATCTGACCAAACAGAAAGGGACATCTTTTCAAATTATCTAACAAATTTTTATTTTTCTCTCTCCTCTTCCTCCCACTTTTGGGTGGAAGCAAAATGGAGAACCAAGAAGGACAGCTCATCCCTCCATCTTCCCTATTCCCTCCATTTCTCCCTCCTACCAAACAATGGAAACTTGTTCCATCCCTCCTATCCTCCCTCCTTTCCTCATCCTTCCCTTCTACCAAATGAATAAGCATAAGTGCAACACTTATGAAGAGTGTCATGGTAAATGCTATGGGATGGAAGAGGAAGACCAAAATTAACATGGGTAGAGTTAGTAAGGAAAGATATGACAACAAGTGGCTTGACTAAGGTTATGGACTTGGATAACGAAAAATGAAATAATAGGATTCATGTAACATAGAAGTCCCAAGTAATGGAAGAGTAGAAACCCACTCAAACTTCTCAGACTAAGGTGAAATCTCACGTATTTGTTAAATCACCAAAACCATTCAACTCTATTTTTCTTCATATAAGCCTAATAATGCACAACTTGTCTAGAGAATTAAAGAACAAGGTACCGTCATAAGCAAACTAAGGTCATCAAAATCCACCAATTTAAGTCTGAACTTCAAATATATCAAACAATATTGAGCCAAAAAAATCAAGATCTATTTAAAAAGTGAAGCTAGAATGAGTTTCTATCTTATGAACTTTAAAAAACTTGCAGTTTTATCACAGATTCCACGGAAGAGAAGAAAACATGAAAAAAAAACAAAACAAAACAAAGTATCCTTACAGCAGTAAAAAAGACTATAATTACTCCAATCACCTTGGAGCCTAGATTTCTAAAGGGAAATTAGGGAAAAGCCTGAAGAGAAGTTAATAATCCAATAATATTTCAATTTTATATTGATTAAGACTTGTTACAGCAAAGAGAAGGCTGTCCCTTATATAATATAATTTCTAACAACTCCTGGTCTCTCCTATATCTCCCTGTCTTAGTCTTGGTCTTAGTCGTAGTGTCTTCCCAGCGGATTAATATTATGCTACTTCTTCCACAACCCTTTTCGCATCAAATAGCATCAAAGCGAGAGACGAATGAAAATGAAAAAAATGCCTTTTGTTGACGAAGCGGGCCTTCTTAAAGAAAAATACTGAAAGGAAGCACCATGGAGGGAGTAAGATGTTTATACAGTGCCGGCTGGAGACAAAAATGAATTGAGTAATCGGCAACTAGCCCTTTTTCCTTGTCTTTTTCGTACACCAGAGAGAGGCATTGAAGCAGACAAGAATGCTGCTTGAACATTGGTAAAACCCCCTGGAAACAAAACCTGTAACAATTCTGGATGCCGCCTCATTGACTCAAGGATGAGATGGTGGTATCTGTCTTGTGCTGATCGTGGACATTCTAAGGGTAGTAGAATTGTTTTTGAATCCCCAAAGAATGCATTTTAGAATCCCCACACTACATTAATAACATTTTACCACTTCCCTAAGCTAACATATTAGTTCCAAACCTTAATACTTTTATAGAAACAAGGATGAACTTTGACTTCACTAAACAAAAAAAGACTTTGTAAGGCACCATTCTTTATTTGAATCAGGAAGTCAAATGATTTTAAAAAGAATAACTTTTTTGTCCTAAAAAAAGTCATATGTTCTATATTCCCTTAATTAAGTGTGATTTTAACATATCTCTTGATTCCATATATGTAAAACTTCCTTGACAGAGTCAAATTGGGCTAGTTGCTAATCAAGTAATATAGAACAAATCTGAGTGAATTGTGTCTAGGGAGTAGACCTTTAGACATTAAACTGTGAGTTCTATTATTCTGTTACATTAACTGGAGATCATGTAATTTAAAATCAAACTTATCTCAAATGAAGTTAACATGCTAATGTATGATTTATTGAAAGTAAAGGGAAATTTTGTATTTTGGAAGAAAAAAATTCAAAAGAATAAACAAAAATTAAAGTCATTGACCAGCATATTGGTGCAAACAGAACTACCCAAACCTTTTCGGCAATATACTGTTAATAAATCTCAAGCTTATGTATCAAAAATTGCTTGTAAATTTCACCAACCATAAATGAGCTAACAAAAGCATGGGAATGTGTTCCACGAAGCGGTATTCCAAATAACTTCCCAGCTGCAACATTGCTGTCAACGCACAACACGAAAATGGAGATGAGCCACATCAAAAGTTACTCTGATCAACAAATTATTGGAGAAATATAAGAAGGATGTTAGATTTAAGTGATTCCCAAGTGATTCAGAAAGAGGCACTACCGTATAAATCATTCAATGTCTGATCTAATTGGGAATTGGGATTTGCTACTAAACTTACACTAATAACTGCAATGCAAGTTTGTGACTTAAATGACTTATTTCGATTTAATGCATTTTGACAGACCAAGAACAAATCCATCACAAATCTACAGCAATCTTTGGTCCAAGATGTGCATTTTAAGAATTAAGAACAGCGGTTGGGTTGCTCCCCATGTCGTAGGGAGATCGGTTTTTAGCCTTCACACCCACTAACTTCTAATCTAACATTTTTGCCATGAAAAAAAAAATTTACTTATAAAAAAATAAAAAAAAAAATAAAAAAATAAAAAAAGAACAGACCCATCACTGCAACAGAGTCTCTAACGACATTTGGTTAAAGACTTGCATTTTGGGAGCAATATGGCTACAGATGACCACAAAGTATCCAGTGAATGAATTATACTACATTAACTACGGATCAAAGCTGAATGTAAGTTCAGCTTGATGAATTTAGAAAACCATCATATCAGCATAGCTAAATGTGGAATAAGAAACCAGGGCATTGTACACTGGGGGCATAAGTTGCCAAGTGATATATTGGAAGAATACACAAAAGCATCACTTTATACAAATATCCAACGCATGAGCAAATTTTGATTTAAAGGGGGGTGGCGGTGTGATAGATGTGCTAACAACTAAAGAAAAAACATCAATTATAAATCAAACCGGGCATCTGGACCAAAGGACCACCAAAAGAAATAAAGGAAAAAATTGTAGAAATTTGAAGCATGTAAACTAGTAGAAAAGCATACAGAATTAAGCCTTTAACATATTGACAAGAGAGGGTAGAAGACCGAGAGCAGAGCTCAAAAAGGAAAGGTGTCGAAGACATATAGAAAGGTGGTATTTGGTAGGTAACTGAAAGAATATATGAAAATTGTATATTACAGAGAAGGTTGGCATATTTTTTCCTTTTCTTTTGGGCTGCGGTTGCGGGTGGAAATTCCCATTTTATGGACAGCATTTCTCATATTGGACTATTTTGTAGGCAGCTTGTGATGCAAAAAGGATTACATCAGCTCATCAAAAGAAACACAAATTTGGAGCTCCCAGAATACAGCTGAAGCATACACTGGATCAAGATCGTCTGTAGCTTTAGAATCCCGACCTTATAGATCTATAAATTCTTATTAATCCACACCTTTAAGAGCAACTGTAGAAGCAATTTCACTTTTTTAACCTAAATATTGTATTTCTACCCTTGATGCCCTGACTCCTAAATATCTAAAACTGCACACTAGTATGATACAAAAATAGCAGGCCAAGGAATATTTGTGATGTCTAGCAGATGGCGTCTCATGCACAGTATACTGAAATATATTTGCTTTCTTTTCTTCTTTTTTTTTCCAAGAGACTGACATCTATGATAATAAGGTTATTAACATACCACAGGAACATACAACTGTCTAGATCGAAAAAGTTATTACAAGTAACTAAAAACAAGCATCCAAAACCTTGAACAGATTCTAAAACTTCACCTAAGCCAAACTCAGGTTACAAATGAGTGTGGATATGATAAACTAATACAAGCTTTGAATTTAATCTTAAAATTTTCAAAAACTAAATCATCCTAAAAATAGCTTCAAATTGATGCAGTGTCACCAATCAAGTAAAAAACAACCTCCAGGAAAATTGATTATAAATCCTAATAAATAAATAAGATACCTAACCAAAAAAAAAATGACAACTGCATAGTTGTAGTAAGAATTAATTACTTCAGTGGGAATCACCTTGTTGCATCAAATCCACCAAGATAGCAATACTTTGATGCGCTTATTCCACCATCAGGCCCCTATGTGTGAAAGAACCATAGAATCTTTTAAAAGGGAAAAATACAGAAAAGCTCTTTAAACCAAATAAAATATATCAGCAACCTGTGCCCGTCGAAGCCCAAACTCAAGAAGAAGTTTAGACTTTCCAGCGACAAACCGATGCCTTGCAGCATTGGTAGCAACTAATGATGCATAATTTATAAGGTTTACAAATTGAGTTTCCAATAGCTGAACCACCTACAATAACAAAAAAGAAGCATTAAGGTTTTTCAGGATAAAGAAAACAAGAAAGTGCATGTTCAGTTTAACACTAGGTAAAAAATATTGCATAATGTAGATTCAGCAAAACATGAAAACATTGGTCAAAAGGGGCAGGTTTTAGGTACTCACAGCAATTGGTCCTTCAACCCTAAGTAGGGGTACCTTTGGGAAAACAACAGATCCCTCCGAAACAGCATACACTTCAACATTAGAACAATCAATTCCTTTAAGATAATCATAGAAGCCATCCTAAAGTCATAAAATAACAGTGATTAGTGAACCACTTGGTCTTTGCTTGTAGAAGCCATAGATTGTATGAAGAATGCAGAGTGGCATAATATCTCATAAATGCAGTTTTAAATGCCCTAGGCAAGAACAAGATATCCTTACTATCTGTGTGAAATTTCTTTCAAATTAATATGAAAATCACTTGATTTTTTACCTTGGGAAAATGTTAATAAAATGGAGTACAATGGTGAACATCCACAATAAAGAGAGTATTATAAATTATCTATGTTTCTTGTTTCAAGTCCACTTCCCACACAGTTCAAATTCTCCAATATATATCAATTTCAGTGTGTTGCTCGGAGTGATAATGCTTCCACCTCTTCACCAAAACCTTGAGAGCAGCATTAGTTTGGGAAATTTGCCACTATGAGGGAAAGAAGAAGTAATCTACATCATATATATATATATATATATATATATATATATTTTGTATGGCATAGCACCATAGACTTGTGCAATAACCAACTAACAAAGATGTTGGATATCCAAAAAATAGAAGTGTGTTATGTTAGTGCCTCTATCAACATGGATACATAGCCCACATAATATATGATACTGGAAGAAACAATGGCTTTAAGTTTCTATTCTCAACTGTATAAATGCATACAGATTTACATTTACACCCATATCTTCCTACACGTCCCACAACCATTTGTGAAGGTGCAAATTGCATTTAACAATGTATATTAAGAACATTTTACCTTTGTGTTTAAAAGAATAAAATTTTACTGCAAATTAAATACATTAAATCATGTGTCTGAAATTTCCATTGAAGACATAAAATTCACTTAAATTTGGTAGCTGATTTAGTTTTGTGTTGAAAAGAATAAAATTTTACCGTAAATTGAATACATTAAATCCTATGTGTCTGAAATTTCCACTGAAGACATAAAATTCAAATCCTAAGAAAATTCCAAAGGCTTATTCTTCCTGTTTCAGTATTACCCATTGCTTTTTACATTCATAACGAGTATATATGAACCAAAATCAGTATATTACTGCTACTCTACAGCAAATATATGCAATGAGTTGGTCTACCTCACATGTATCGGGCAAGGATGTCTTGATAAAACCAATCTCCTCCTCTGTGACTTTAAAGTTAGCAATAAACCTTATGCACTCTTCTAGACCAGCAAAAACTGTATATTCACCGCCAAAGGGGTTCTTCCTAAAATATAAATCGAATCTGAAACATATTGTAGGTTAGAAATAATAGAATTATAAACACAAATACAGAACATATATTACTCGATCTTGTACATTGTAAACATATAATAGGAATCACTAAACATAATCCAAATATTAAATAATAAACATACAGAACTGGAAATAGCCAAGACATGCATTGTAACAACTAAACAGCCGCACACTGAAACATATTGTAGGTTAGAAATAACAGAATTATAAACACAAATACAGAACATATATTACTCGATCTTTTACATTGTAAACATATAATAGGAATCACTAAACATAATCCAAATATTAAATAATAAACATACAGAACTGGAAATAGCCAAGACATGCATTGTAACAACTAAACAGCCGCACACTAAACTCTACCTGCTCAAAATTTTGGCTTATGGTCATAAAAAAGTTATAAACATACAGAACAGGAAATGGTCAAGATGCATTGTAACAACTAAACAGACGCACACTAAACTCCACCTGGCTCAAAATTTTGACTTATGGTCATAATTTAATATAAAATTGTTTAAATTTTACTGGAATCCTGTTCAGCTTGGTGATAATTGATATCAACAATTCATGTTCTTCATCCATGTTAAAGTATAATTGACTATTTTAGTGAGATCATTCAGCAAACCAGAAACATGGCTAGAAATGCTTGTATTTAAGAAAATTTATTAGTAAGTAGAGATAGGAGAGGCTAAAAAAGGTATAAGAGAATGGGATTTATCTCTTGTTCACTCCTTACCTTTCTGATTACTGGTGTAAACCCAAGTTGCCTAGGGATTAATAGCCGTCATCACACTATCGTTGCATAAGTGCATGTATATGGCGAAGGAGCACATTGCTGATAGAGCAGAAGTGTTGCATTTTAGGGTTTTGTTATATTTCCCTTTGGAAAGGTAAGTTTCAATATCCATCTCTTTGTAATTTCTTTGATTTAATGGTACTCTGGCCAGATCAACTATGAAAGTAGGCTACGTCTTGTACTACATAATTAGAATCGGTTGTGATTGTTTGCTTTTTTCTTCTTTTATCTGTTTTTTCATATATTTTTTTTTCTACACAATGCACAAAATCCTTGGGATTCTGATGTAGAACTGATCGTTGACACTTACATGGCTCTTTTGGACTGCTAGAAGCCCAAACAGGCAGGCTGACATGTTGCTGGTGACATATGTTGCTTTCCGATCACATTCCATGGTTTCGGCCCCGATTTTTGCATTTTTCAGTGCTATAGGAAGTCATATTTCGAGATTTTTATTAGAGGTCAAAAATTGTTCTGGATTTTGGTAGTTATCTTAGTTTAGTCATTAGGAACTTATCTCTACATTTTTATTTTTTTATTTTATTTTATTTTTTTGTGAAATTTTTAGCAACAGCATGAAATTTGAATATTTTAGGATTCTATTCGTATACAAATAATGGTTGTGATATGCAATATAGCATCATTATTCATTAATAACAGATCATTTCCTTTTTTTTTCTTCTAAACTTTGTGGATTCAAATTTGGAGCCTTAGTTTCCAGTATGGATTTCTAGAAGTCCCCCCCATCTATAGCCATTGTTGAACCTCTGGCCAATTTGCTAGTCTATATATGAGTCATAAAGCCTAACTACTGAAGAATAAAACTTTATTTTCATGGTTCATCTGCTTAACAACCAACCGTGTAACATGAACCCCAAAATGTAATTATCTACAAGCAACATAACATTTTTTTCCATTTTAGCAAACATTAACATAGTTTTAACACAGTAATGACCCTTTTGACTCTCATGTCCCTCTCATTTACTCCACCAAGCTCATCAATTCCTCAGCTCATGCTACATGGTCTATACTCCTTAAGATAGAGCACTTCTCAAGTTCCCTTTCTATGCTATGTTTTCTCCCATTTTTACAGGAAATCAAACTGCCTCTGACGAAAACAGAGTTTATGACACCACGGAAAAGTTATTAAACTTCAATATCTTCAACTATAAAATGTTGCAATAAACCTAATTATCTAATCTTTGCACATCCAGGCAATCACCCACAAACCATGTGCATGGATTGAGCCCAGGAAGAACTAGTTTCAGACAAATTTCACCATAGAAACAACTCTAGACCCCTTGAAATTATCGAACTTCCTATTACATTATACATGGGTGTAAGTACATATCCATATAGAAACAATCAAAGCAAGTAACATATAGTAAATATATCCAAGACAAACAGAACCAAAAAGAATCCAAGAATTCAGGCAAATTGGCTTAAAAAAAAATGAACTCACACGGCATGTTCATTGTGCTTGCCGGCTTTCCAGTAAGCATAGGCCATAGTGAACTGATATTGATCTGTGAGAAGAGGTGTCACCATTGGATTGGTGGGTCTATCGATGACCGGACGACGATTCTCTTCCTCCCTGGAGCCATTAGCTTTTGCCTCCATTCCTTCAATGAAATACAAGGGTTGCCTCTTCTTTCTATAGACTACTATAATCTGCTATTGTTATTGATATTTTTCTTTGCCCGGTTACATGTACATACACACATACATATATATGTGTGTGTGTTGTGTGCGCGTAGTCGTTACGGACGCGAGCGAACGAAGAATCTATGAAAGAGAATTTGGGTTTCGCGGTCAAAGAGAGAGAAAGTTGTAGAAAGTCTTGTCTTTGAGAGCGTCAAATACGAAGGGATGGAAAAGAATGGTTTCAAACACAGAGAATGCGAACCAGAGCCTGAAATGTAAGGAAAAAGAAAATGTTTATTATATCCGGGTTGGACACTTTTGGCTTGACCGTGACGGCCTGTTATATATATTACCCACAGACATATATAAAATATATCGTACTAATTGGGTTTAATTAAATTTTATTCAGTAGATTTTCATAGACAGCTATTACATTCTCGAATCCTATTCAGCCCCAAAGTCAAGCACCTCTATCGAGTTATTTATGTAAAGAAATTTCAGGAATAAGTTATTTCTGTAACTTGTAAAAAAAAAAAAAGGGAAAAATTAGATTTCACTGATCAAAATCAAATATAATAATTTTAAAGTTTTTTAAAAAAGTATAGGCATCAATTCTAAAACCATATTACTATTTAGTGACCATGCGAGACTAAATTCTATTAATAATTCTATATTTTGTTTTTGTTTATTTTTCTAAATTTTCTACTGTTATCTATAATTGTACCCGGCACAACTAATATTATTGGTATATATATATATGTGTATATATATATATATAATTTCTAATTAGTACTCTCACGTACATGCATTTTCTGGTTATTATGGATGGAGATTATTGTTCTTTATAATTTTATGTTGTTTCTCTCTTTTCTCTTTTCTCTTTTCTCTTTTCTCTCATGAGAATAGATAATAGCCGTTGACAAGCTCCAAGTTTCCTATTTCTTTTTTTTGTGGAAAGCACTTTTTATATTTTTTATTTCTTCCATTTTTCTTATTTTCTTCTATATATCAAAGGCTGTGTTTGTATTTCCTATTTCAATCCTTCTTTCCTTTTCTTTTTGGGAAAATTAGATTTTGTTGACCAAATCTAAACAAAATTATTTAAAACTGATCCGAAAATAAAAAATAATAATATTAATAATAAAAAGATTAATGGTCACCAATTTTGAGACTTAATCACTAAGAAGTAACCATTTGAAGGTATTTTGGTCAAAACATTTACTTATTTATTACACATCCTAAAAATAAATTTTAGATGCTAAAATTGCCCTTGTATTCATCCTCCTCTCTTTATCATAGAACCTTCTTTTTTCTTTTTAGTTTCTTTAATAACCTTATCTCTTAGAATTAGGGTTTCTTTAAACCTTATATTTTTTTCAAGGTTCTTCGGTATAGATAAAAAATATACTAAGTACGTAACCAAAAATAAATACAAATATTACTCATTTATAGTCAATAATACACGTTTATGAACTTGAAGTTTATTTGTATTAATATGTGAGATTCTAAACCCTATATATATGAAAAATGATACTGTACCGAAGAGATAAATCTAATCCACGTGGCTGTCTATGTGAATATATATATATATATGCTTTGTAACTGCTAAATATTATGAGTCGTGATACTTAGGCAGTGGCACAAAAAGATAAATAATATTTAGCAGTGGGTCATTCTGACTCATTACAAAGTATTGAACTTCTAATTTTATTTTCGATTCCCCTAGTTGTTTGTCTTCTATTAAAAATTTAATTCTTTCTTTAATTAACTCCATTTTCTTGTCTTCTATTAAGAATTTAGTTCCTTCTTTAATTATCTCAAATTTTTTCTCCGGGATCTCTATTTTGTCCGTGTAGACTTTTAGGTTAAAATAAATAAATAAATAATAATTTATGTGTTTGATTGGTTTAATTGATAGTAAAATAAGAGAAGATACCCAAAAGGTAAAGATGATACAAATATATAGAGATGATTTTATTAACATTCAGGACTTCATTAATATTCAGGTTTTCATTAACATTCATTCTCTACCATACAATTTAATTTCATCAAAATAATTTTATCATAAAAAATTATACAAAGAGTCTCACCAACCACTTTGGACTCCGTTAACATGCATGCATTCTCTGTAATACAATATGATTTTATTAAAATTTTATAAGTAGGACATCATCAGTAACAATTAATCAAATCTCTAGGCAATTACCAGAAAGTATCAGGTAGGGATGACTAGAGAGAAAGACTGAAGAGAGAGAATGAGAAATATTGAACTGTTGGGATGAAGATAAGAAAGGATAGTACAAAAACAAGAGAGAAAGTGTGGACTTCTAAAATGACGACTTTGTCTGGGGCTAAGTTTACTTTTGCGAAGCTTTTTAATAAATTATGGCCACGCGATAAACAGCAAGAGCCTATTGCTAAACGGTTACAAGTTTTTAAGGTGGCCCGTAATCTCTTTCAACTGTTTATTCCGGATGCTGCTATTCGGCAACGTATTTTGGATGGCTGTCCATGGTTGTTTGATGGTCATTTAGTGGTGATTAAGGCCTGGGAGGAGAGTTTATTAGTGTCGGATCTTCCGTTCCAAGTTTCTCCCTTTTGGATACAGCTATTTGATGTGCATGCCAACTTTCTGTCGGAGAAGGTTGGGGAAAAAGTTGCCTCTTGTCAATGTTTGAAAGTTGAATTGAGGGATAAAGGTTTGGGTGATGGGAAAGAATTGGAGATGAATGCTAGTCGGGTTTTACGTCTTCGATTGGAGTTGGACATCACACAGCTTTTCGAAGGCATTTTCTTCTTACCAGTCCAATGGGTGAAGAATCTAGGGTGCAGATACGTTATGAGAAGTTGCCAATTTTTTGTTTTAACTGTGGTGTTACTGGCCATCAATGGAAGTCTTGTCTAACTAGGTCGTCTGTGGGGCCTGGGGATATTAAGGAGTATGGCGATTGATTGGGTGTTGATGGTTTTTTGGGAAAAGATCTTTGGAATATAGAGCGTGATGGGGTGGACCTGCTGAATGATAATTATAGTAAAAGCTGGTTGTATGTGGAAGATAGCGATGTCGTTGATGTGGCTAGTCTTGTGGGGTCTTAGTCGTCTTCTACTTTCCGCGGGGTGCCTGGGTGGGAGGTTGATCCGTTTCTTCTGTTTGCTCTTCCCAGTACTCATCAGGGACTTCTTTTGGGGGAGCCTTTGAGTTCTGCTGTTGTTGCCTTTTCCAGTGTAGGTGGACCATCCCGCCAGGTGGAGGGACTTGGTATGGGGGATGTGTCGGGTGGCGCGGGTTTGGGATTGACGGGGGTGATTTTGGATCAGGTCCAATGTCCAGGAAATGATGGTTCTCCTTCTGGTATTCTTATTATACCGATGGAGGGTGGTTTCATTCAAGGTTCTTCATCCCAGAGTCATGTGGCATCGGCCCATAATGAAGAGCTTATGGTTTCCGAACCCGTTACTTCTCCTATTAAGGGTCGGATCCTTCCTTTGCAAAGGTGGGATGAACTATCAAAAGGTTGGAAGAAAGGTAAGGGCTGGGCTAAGCCTGTGTTTGGCTTTACTTCTGACTCCTCTGCTACTTCTTATAGTCAGGGCTCTTCTCCCGTTAAGAAAGGTCGGAAGCGTCAACAGTCTAGCTCTGGTGGATCTCCACGTGGCCGTGTGCGAGGGGACAAAAAGATTAAGACTGTGTCTGTTACTGATGTGTCTCCATCTGTGGATATGGATGGGATTGGTGGTGATGTTGGCATACGATCCGATTCTCCAGCCATGTCTGGGGCTCAGTTGGCGGAATCTTTTACTTTCGACTCATCTCAATCTTTTGCGACTCAGGTAGGGTTGCTTGTGGGAACTACTACCCCCACATTTACTAACACCTTTTGAGTATGTCTGTTGTCAAGACTGCAATCTTGACATAGGTGTTAGTTTGTTTTGTTAGCTTTTGTTACGGCTGTGGGTCCTGTTTTGTCCTGTTCTGATGGATAATCTTTGCCATGTAGATGTCGTATGGCGTTGGTGTTTGTTCTTGCCGGGATATAAAAAAAATAATAAATAAAAAAATAAAATAACAACAACAACAACAACAACAACAACAACTTAATAGTTATCACTTTACATATAGTGACATGGCATATCACTTTGACAGCCACATGGATTAGATCAGATAAATATTTTTTTTTAGTTAGTACTCACACACACTTGTCTCTTCTCATCTATGCAAGTTTCATTTTCTTTTATCTTTTTGTAACTTTATGGTCACTTTATGGCTATTATCTTTGATTTTGGTCACCAAATTCTAATTTTCCCAAAAGAAAAAATCAAAGAAACTTTTAGAAATGGAAATAGTTTACTTTCAAATCAACGAAAGCAATTTACAAAAAAAAATTATTTTCTTGATTTTGTAAAATTTTCAAAATGTTAAAGCTCTGTGATGTTTGATAGTCTTAGTCAATCCAAGCATAAATTGCTCTAGAATTAGAAAAGTATCTCACTTAAATATATTGTTTTAAAATTTTAAACCTACCAAAATTAATAAGAAAAGGGTTTTGATTAAAAAAAAACCTTTGCTCTTTGTCTACATTGATATATTTTGCATGTCTAAAAAAGTAGATTAAAATTAAATGTTACATTGGATATTGATAATTTTTTACATTATAAAGTCATATTACCACGCTTGTGTCTGAATTAGGTATTTGCAATAATGTCAAATTGATTTGACCAAACGAACAAATTTGATATAATCCGTAGAAAACATACAAATGCACGTTAATTTCATTCAAGTTTGTTTTTTCTTTTTCTTGGTAGAGAGAGAGAGAGACCGACGGGGTTGCAAAACAAAGGGAGTGATGTAGTGATGCAACTCGACGTTAGGCAATGACAATGTTGACCTAAAAAGCAAAAGGAAAGTAGCCAAAGCTATAAGCGAAAATGGTGGCAAGCAACAAATGCAGAGGACAAGAAGAAACATCATTTTTTTGTTCAATCTTTGTCAAGTACCTGTACCTGGGCAACATACATTTGCTTATATATACAGAACCTGTAAGTTTGTAGAGTATATTTATTGCTCATTCCAAAACATCTGACACGGCAAACTTGGAAGAAAACTCTCTTTGGTGTGTGCCCCAACCATCAAATTTAACTGATCTCATGTAACCTTACAGCATGCGCGCGCGCGCGCGCACACACACTCTTAAAATATGACAAAATCCAACTCATGGGATGACAAGACATTGGTCTAATCCATTTTGGTCTAATCTAATACTTCAAAAAAATATTAGTAATAAAACTTTTACCTACCTGAAGTAAGGTGTAACATTAGAATAGAAAGGAGAAGAAATTACTACATGATCCTGGATTAATCAGTAGGTGTCAATTTTTTTGTTTACTTATTGATAAACATAAATGATTCCGGAATAATTTAATAATTTATCCAAAACCAGAATATACTTCAACTTGGTTCGGGATAAGGTTTGTTTAGAGAACACATAATCATCTGTGGCAATTTAAGTTCAACCATATCTGTGACCCTAGCTCATAAATTTGAGAATTCCATAGTAAACTAGGCTATTCTATCCATTGTAACGACTAATTTGCATAGTATGCCACTGTGGGTAGCACTTTTCTTATGTAGAAAACAAAACATGTGTGGGCAGTGGGCCTCCTCGCAGATTGAGAAAAATGCTAGCTGTAATAATGAAAATTACGGAAATTCTGACTTCACGTGGAATTCATTTTCTTCAAGGTATATTACAAGCGATGGCCAAGTGTTCTTTGCTCCATCTCATGTCTGTTTGAAAACATTTTAACACAAAATACTAGCTCCTTGTCCAAGACAATGCTAGGCTACAACAGAATTTACAAGTACTTGGAAGTTGTAGCTACACTGGATTCAAAAGATACCTGAGTGATTCAAGGCTAGTAAGCTACCAAAGTTTAGAAGGTTTTGAATCTCAAATTTCAAAATTCGGTCTTCCAGTATTGCTGTCATCCTTGGGTGCATTTCTTCCTATGTCCAGGCTGTAAAAAGAGCATATGCTAAGGGATATTAGCGCATAGTTTTTGTCACAAAAAGAATAAAGTAACACCTATCTTCTGAAAGTACACTTACCAATTCAACTGGGAGGACAGGACTGGGTCGCATGCCAAATTCATTAGCAGTAGGCCTTCTGACCGGTCTTTTCCAGGGATGCATTCCCGCAAGGCATTGTCTTTGTAATCAGATGCTTGTGTATCAAAGGGGATTGACATTGGGGCTTTGGCTCCCATTTGAAATTCTTTTAGCACATAAAATACGCCAGAACATGGTAAAAAGAATGCATTCCTTTTAGTTCATCTAATTTTTTCTTGACAATAAAAATAAATGCATGCGAATTACGCCACAAAAGAAACCTCAACGACTCCAAAACTTGAATCCTTTAAGCTACTGTTTAAGTGTTAATATATATATATAAACACACACATACATATATAAACACACACATACATATATGAGGCTTGGTCAACCCACCTATTGGATTTGTCTCAGAATGATCCATGTTTTGTAGCTGATAATGCAGCAAGTCCTCCCTGCAAATTTCCTTTGCATTGCAGAAACATAATGGTATCATTATCTCGCTCTAGATTCAGTACAGTCAGGGATCATTTAGACTTACCTCAGATGAAGTTTGGAGCTGAAAAGGTCTAAGGTGATCCTGAATTGATGGTTGCAATCCAAACGAAGCTTCTGAATGGATTATGTCTGGCAAATTGCCAATGTGTTGCTGGTTTGCATTAGGGCATTGGTTGGGTAGAGTGAATACAGTACTTGCTAGTGTTTCTTGGTATAGCGGAGGTGTGCTTGTCAAGTTAATTGTTGGGGATCCATTTCCCTCATGAAAGTCCATCCTCATCTGGGAGAGTCGAGTTGGCTGCAGTAATCTAGGTACGCACATGGGATACAAACTTAATCCATTTCTCATTGTTAACATCTGAAATGTAAATCAGGTGATAAAATGAATTAACGTAATGATAACGATGAAAATAATAATAATAACAACAAATACAAAAATAAAAAAGGCAATCAGTAATCTTAATATAATCTACAAGAAAAGACAAGAATGGAAAATTAAAACAAAATACAACTCTCCTAAAGACAGACAAACCCAGAGATAACTAGTGTACATGTGGCATTGAAATCATCCAAAAAGAGTTGTATTCTCACTTGAGAAACAGTCATATATACCCTATAACAGAAAACTTATCAAAAAATATATATATACCCTAGCGGAAAATCTCCAGTTCCTTTTCATCACCCACGGGCATAGAGCTTCTTCATTTCATATCAATGATTAGCCTTGAGTTAATAAACGAGGTTAAATCTTAGCAATAGAAGAGTTCTTGAAAGCAAAAACTACTTCAAAATACAATTACGCAAGAGAAAACCTTTCATGAAAACAAAACATTTGGAAAAAAAGAAAATAATTTAGAGAGATTAAATTTTTGAGAGAAAATTCAGAGTCAACTAGAAAACCAGATCCTAATTCCCAAGTAACACAGCTGCATTAGTTCGACATATGCCTCAAGATGCCTTCAGTTGCATGAAGTGTGATTTTTTTTTTCCCCCCCTAAATGAAGCATGAAGTGTGATTAAGAACCCGTGGAACTCAAAGCGCACAAGTGAGGCAATGTCATCCAAAAGCAACAGAGGTTAAGTGGTTGTCATTCCAAGTGTCTAGGTCCAACAGATTCTGAGATGGAAAATACATGTTGGCTCACTGTTGCAGGACCAGTAAAAAATCAAGGGATAAGAAGAGGTGAGACTAAAAGTAAGGGGGTTAGAAAACAGACGAGAAGAGAGAGTGAATAGATAGACTGGACATACAAAGGGGATGAAAAAAACAAGAACAGAGATCAATCTGAAGAGCATGATAATGAATATTCCAGAAAAGCTAATGACTTCAATTGAATGCAGCCTTTTTATAGGCAAACCCTAAGAAGAAAATAAAAATAAAATATCCAATGAACACTTGAAATGAAAAAACTACAATAAATGTCCCTACGCCTGACGTAGGTGCAAAACCCCTCACGATCGCTATCACTCACGCTGGTATCCGAACATGGTTAATGTGGTGGAAGGGAAACAGCTCTATATACGGCCACTTATCTTGTCTGCTGACTCATATGACAGCCAGGGCCATTTGCAGGGGTAGTGAAGGGTAGTACTACAGCAAATGTTACTGGGATGAGATGGCATAACCTTCTACTTTGATTTTACTCCAACTAGGTCACCAAATAAAACCGTCTAATACCTTACAGGGGGTATGAGCATGTTGTATGTTATTCTTGTCAACACACTAAAGAGGCCAGAAATGTTGGTCCATTCCATCAAGATGACTTTGCATGGCAATGAATAATATACTGTCACTGCTCCAGCCAATATTAATGGACTCGAGTACAAGTTTTGGTTGTGGCCTTTGTCTAGGCATCAGATTTTTCTGATTCACAAGGATGTTCGATACATTACAAGTCCAGTAGACAAAACCATGCCCATATTTCCAGCCTCCGGGACCTTGCCTTGATTCCTGCCACCAGTTTCTCACTGTCCAATTGTTTATCCATGTATCATCACTGCACTAACTACCTTTGGGTCTTTAACCTCTGCCACCAGTTTCTCACCATTGTTCCTTCTGTTATGCCATTACTTGTATCTTACTGTGGGTACACGGCCCCTGCACCACACGACATGGCACTAAGGGAGGTAATTGTACGTAATGTATCTAGCTAGAAAAGATGCCTAACGTGGCAGGCGCAGCAGCTCATCTGCCTCAAACAAAGCACACCATCTTCAATATCCCTCAAGGTCAAGCCCATCAAGGTAGAGGTGTTTAATGAGGATGAACCATCATTTGAATGAGTCTCACCGTCGGCATATTGGGACCTTTAGTCCAGGGCTGTGTGGCTGTTGCCCACAAGGACATAACCTGAGGTTGTGTGTTATCGTCTATCCTAAAAAAAAATAGCCTCTGGTTTATGTGACTACTATCAAGTTATAAGGAAATGATCAGGGGTTGTGTGACCATTGTCCAATCTCAACGATTTATATCCTGGGTTTGTTGATCCCTGACATCATGCCTAACTTTATTCAGCATGTATATATTTTTTACACGACGCCATTCCCTATTTCTATGTTGCTTTTTTGCATAAAATACAAAACCTATCATATTTAATCAACATCCCGGTGCAATTAATGTGCCACCACACCACATTAACTAATTAACCTTAAATACAACAGATAATTATATCTATAACCATGCTTCCTCCTAATCACTTTTTTCCTTCAAGTTACTCTAGAGTCCACGTGGATTGTCCCATCAGACTGGCATGACATTATGATCTCTCTTTTATAGGGAGATTATTACCCCAACATCCCCCTCTGAATGCTCTTTGGATAAGTTGACCTTTAGCCTGCATTTAAAGTATCCCAGCATCAAACAAGAGCAATCCTCACTAAGAAAGCCTTATGTTTCTTCAAGAATCCAATCTGTGATCAAGCTCTGATCACAGTCAAACGCCAACCAGACAACTTCCTTTACCCTTGAGAAATCACTTGTTCTTATCCAATAGTTTCATTTTCTCTCTTTTCTACAGGCTTGCCTAAAATTTCAACTAGGTCAATCTCCCTCAAATCTTTGTTGAATCTCAGGTAGCATGTCAACTATCCCCATCAACATTCTAAACCTACACCTTTGAAGCACAAATACTTTTAAAAAGGAATTGTATTTGTATTGGGTACCCATACTCCAAAATATGTGTAGATACTAAAAAAAATCATCCATAATTTAAATATAAAAATTTTGCTTTGAACACATATCTAATATTTCTCAAAAACTTAGGATACATGTATGACACGTTTTGAACAGTAAAATACTGCATTTCTAGTAGAATATCATAACATCAAGGGTTTCAAATAACTTTCTAAGAGAAGAAGAATTGAGATATATTGAGAATACATCATGTGTCCAATTTAGTCCAAACTCCATGTCAATGCACCGTCTCTCAACTTCTTCGTGTGACATCAAATATTATAAACTGGGAGTGCAAAACATTTTAAAGACACATAATATACTTGTTTGTAATAGATTTTTTATAAGTGAATGTTAGTCATGATAAATATAAAATAAGTAATAAACAAATATTATTTTAAATGTATCACATAGAAACATATATATTTGAAATTTTATGCATACGTACATACACGTTGAGAATACATACATATATACACACACCACACACACAAATATTGTTGGATCCCTATCGTATCTGTGCACTATTTGTATCGAGAATGGCATACTCGTATCCGTCTCCATGTCCACACTTCAGAGCTTTGCATCTGGTTATCCTTACCACCTCAATAGCTCATTGTTTTAGATAATTAGAATCCTCAACCTCAAAAAATCCCTTGATCTGGACATACACATTTACAACCAGATTATGGCACCAATACCCAATAGTGCAAGCTCTCAAATGAATCCTACAAACCAACCAAAATATAAATGATCCTATATTCTAACTCCATTGGAAACAAAGGAATGAACAGATTTCTGCATTCATTTGATGAAATTGTGAGAGTTCAAGAAGGAGAGGTCTTTTGCCATTGGCACGCCTATCTCTACTTATCAACACTGATTTCTCAAAATTCTCTAAATACAACACGGTAAGTTGCTATTGAAGTGTTGTATTGCTAAGAGATACAACTTCTCTTTTCAAAATATAAACCAAACCACTAAAATGTAACAAGATCTTCATGTCACCAAAACTTGCACTGCAATTCTTCAAAGAAAACTGCATACCTGTACTTGGAGCTGAAGCTGCTTGAGATATTCAATAGCTTCGTCCAGCATTGAAGCCTTATCAGTCTATCACAAACAAAAAAAACCACATCAATCACTCTATAATTGAAATAAATTTGTGATGAAAAAGGAAGAAATTGAATTCAAACACCAAAATCACAATGTACCTTGTTGGAATTTGGAATCAAATTTTGTAATGCTTTCATTTTCTCATTAATCCGACTCCTCCTCCTCTGCTCAAAAGAACACACACAACACAAAACCTATAATTGAAAATTGAAGCTGATTCGCAACAATTTTAGAAAGCAATCTATTCAACAGACAGAGCCAACCTTTTCAGACAAATTGTGAACTTCGGCTTCTCTGCTTCTCTTTGACGCATTCCGAGGACTCACTTGCTTTACCGGCACCTCTTCCCCCAAAGCTTCAAAACCCCCCTGACACCAAAACACCGTCAATATACGTAGTCACAATTCAAGATGATAAATGAAATGATGAAGGTAAAAATGTGTACTTTAGGGTATATTAATTACCTCGCTTTCGCAATCGTACTCGTCAACGTCATTGTCGAGTGTTCCAACGGAAGAATAAGACATATTCAGTGCGCTCGCCTGAAAATATCCGCCGGGGACGGCGGGGGAGGACAGGTTCAACCCGGAAGTTGAATCGGCCGCTGAGATCCGGTCCGTGACAAGGCGGTCCGATCCTGGAAGGAGAGATGAATGGTAGGGATGGTGTTGATTTTGTTGCATAAGATGAGAAGATGGAAAAGACTGCATTTGATTGTTGTTGTGGGCCATAAGAGAACACGAAGATGATGAAGAAGACGAAGAGGAACGGAGGAGGATTTGCTGAAGGAAAAGGGAAATATCGTCGGGTTCAACTGGAGAGGAAGATGAAGAATAGGTGACTTCATACATATCCGCCATTATATTATTATATAAGTATTATATATCAGAAATCCTGAAGAGATAGAGAGAGAATGGAAGAACCCCAATTACAGACTCCGCTTCCTTTCCTCTCTCCAAACAACACTTCAGCACTTTCTCTCTCTATAATGCTCTGTGTCACCGCCGTCTGTCTCTCCATATAAACAGGGCAGGGTGATGCTGTGGGCGGGTTTATATGCTAAACTCAAATTATGAAATTTTCATTTACTAGTAAGTAATAAAAATAGTTTGAAGAAATTTGTATTTCTAAAGAATGATTGGTCTGTCAAATGTTAAAAAAATGACAGGCGAGGATAGCGTGACAAAAAGAGAAAAATTCGCTTTGTTGTCAGGTCAGGTGAACGCCACATCCCATCGCACGTGAGACACACTATCACAGTCTTCACAGAGTCCGTACTCTTGGAAACTACAAGTACTCAATTGGGTTACCAGTCTGGTTCATTCCCAATTTCTATGCTATTGCTATGACCCCATTCTACGCTAACATTAGTGGTGGCTTGGTTTATGTGACTACTGTGTCAAAGATGACGCGCATGTAAGATGACGCCCAGGAAATTATAGTAATTTTATTGTGAGTGTATCTTGTTACAGAATTTATAGTTGTGACTATGTCCAATTATATATTGATTATGAAGTTTATTTTATGGATGAACTAGTTTGTTCATTCTAAATTTCTCATAAATTCTAAAATTCGGCAAATTTTTCAAAACAATTTCGATTCGTCCCAATTTACATAATCTGTTCTCTAAAATGGTTCCAAATACGTCGAAATCCGCCTAGGTAATAATTTTTGTCATCCTTATTCGCGATTCTTTTTTTTTCATTAGACTTAAGACATGAAACCAAATAAGGATTAGGATTAATAACAATATATCATAGTATATAAGGGTAATTTAATAAATTTATAATATATTTGGGGTGGGGTGGGATGGGGTGGAACAACCCTTTTCTGAAATCTCCTCAAAGTCATCGAGTTTTTCAAGATAACTTCTATTTTTGTATCCGTTTATAAAATTGGATTCTCAAAATCCCTTCTAACAACATGGACGCCGCCTCCTAACAGGACGGACACTGCCAAGATTGAAATTTTTGCCATCGCTCGCTTCCCTTGGCAAAACATTATGAAAACAAAACAAAAGGGAAGAGCCCGCTCTTTATAGGAATACCTCCTCCCTCAAATGCCATATCAATGGATGCACTACGTGTTGGGAGGACAAAATTCGACCTAGTACAAAGATTCTACTTAACTAAATTTGTGAGTTCAATGCGGCAATAATGCTACTTCACTTTTGAACTGAATTTAAAATTGCAACTATGTGTGAGAATAAATTTTTATGGACAAATCGCATTTGTCCAATGCCATGACATCAATACTTGAGTGACAGAGATCAAACACGTCAAGTGACACGCCTGGCCTTTTCAAATGACCATGACATGTTTCATCAACTCATCATAAGTACACTCTCTCTCTTTTGCCCTTTTTGCAGCCCTAGTGTTTTCAATTCGTATCTGTATGGACTTACTTATGCTCCACCCTAATCAGTCTCTCTCTCTCTCTCTCTCAGGGACACTCAGGACAATGAATTGAATGAGGCCCATAGACCACCTTGTTGCAACAACTAAAGAGACGGAGTAAAATGCTCTCCCGCGTAACAATGCATATGTCCTATTTACACCTTACGAAAAATATTTTAATATTTTTATAAAGTGCATCAGAAGGGTTCGTTTGGTAACTATAGTTCTTTTGTATTTTTGTTTTAATTCGAAGCGGATGTAATGTTTTCGTTTTAGAGTGTAGTCAACATCATTTCGAAATTTGTTTGGTAACGGCAAGATTTTTGAAAACAAAAACATGAGAGCATGTTTGGTAAGAAGTGTTACAAATTTAAAATTTTAAATGACTAGTTAAAAATGTTAATTTAGATTTATTATTATTATTATTTTAACAATGCTTTACTAAAATGCAGAAGCAAACAAAAGTATCATTTTGATATTTCTGATTATGGCCTCAATTTTGGAAGCGATTCGTATTATTCAACTGACAACAAACGTTATCAAACATGTTTCGTACTTTTGTTTTGTTACAATACACTAACAAAAGTAAAAATATGCCCAATTCTTCAGACATGTACGCGTATTCAAATGAAATTTGCTCATCACAATTATAAACAAATTATTTTCATTTTTTTCTTTGTAATTAAATTCATTTTCAATTGCACATATGAAATAAATAAACAGTAAGTAACAATCCATCAAAGTTCATTGTCATTATCACTCTTAATGTTTTAATTTAATACATGGGTTGAAGAAACGTTTAAAGAAGGGGAATTATAACATCTACTTTTAATTTTATATTGTTAAATATATCGAATAAATACTTATAATTTTAAATTAATAATTATGTTTTTGAATTATTCATCAAATTTCTTATATATATTATCACAAATATATTCAAATTACATGATTAAAACAATCACTCTGCAAAAATCAGATGTGGTGGATATAAAATGAGAGATAGTCGCCCCATATATTTTTCACATGAGTTGCTGATGGACGGAATCAAAGACTTCTTTCCAAAATGGGGACAAAAATGGGGAGGGTCCCGTCACATACCTTTTTTAGTTGTCATTTTAATCAACTTGTTTTGCTGAAGCCCAAATCAACCTTCTTCTTCTTCTTCTTCTTATTTTTATTTATTTATTTATTATTATTTTTTTTTTGGTTAAAAGCCCAAATCAACTTGTTGCGTTTGTTGAAAATATGATGTTTTGAATTTGAAATTGGAATAAATTTATTGTTTTTAACTAATTTTTTTCGAATACCAAAGACAAATCACAAACATAAAATTAAAGAAATTTTTGTCTTTCCTTCATTTTTTTAATCGTTATATATATATATATAATGATTATATCCAATGGTATTCGGGGATGGACAAAAAAATTATGTGGGTGTATATAAATAAATAACAATTTAATTTATGTGTGTATATACATACATACATACATATATATATATAAATATATATATAGGCAAAAGTGTAAACAATTTCTTAAACTATCAGCAAAAGTTAAAAATATCCTCCTGAACTATCTTGAGTTGCAAATCAAACCCTCATCTATACCAATGTTACAAAAAAGACCTTCCCGATCACTGAACCACATTTTTTGGCGCCGGTTCATTTACACACCCATGTATTTTTAAATAATGCCCAACTTACCCTTTTGAGTGACTATTATACCCCCACAAAAGTGTAAAAAACCCTTGAACTATTTTAGGTTGCAAATCAAATCTGAACTATACAATATATTTTTGTTATTATTTCAAATAATAATTATTATTATTACTATCACCACCACCACTACTACTACTATTATTATTATTATTATTATTATTCTATTTAAACTATTTTTTATATAATTTATGAGCTTCCATAAACTGTTTGTAGATATATATATCCATCAAGCAACTAATCAACCAGATTTTTTGTTATTATTTTAAATAATAATAATAATAATAATAACAATAGTTATTATTTATTTATTTATATTGATAATTTATGAACTTAGAAAAATTATTTATAAGTATATGGATCCATCAACCAACTAATCAACCAATTTATTTTTATTATTATTACTACTACCACTGTTAGTACTATTATTATTTTTATTGTTAATTTGGAGGGACTAAAAGTGATTCACATATCTTGCAACTAAGTAATTTATTTTTGTTATTTTACTATTATTATTGTTATTACTTCTAATATTATTAGTTATTATTAATATTATTCCTATTATTATTATTATTGATATTGCTTATTATTATTAGACAAAATTGTAAAAAAAACTCCTTGAATTATTAGTTAGTTGCAAGATAGCATCCGAAGGGTATTATGGGTATAGTACATTTATAATTTTTATATAAATTAATAAGTGGAGTTATTTTGGTAATCTTGACCATTTAGATGTCGAAAAATATGGTTTGGTGATTGAAAGGGTCCTTTTTTACCATATTAATATAAATAAAGGTTTGATTTACAATTTCAAATGGTTTAGAAGGTATTTTTAACTTTTGATAGTTCAGGAATTTTTTATTTTTTATTTTTTTAATTGTACTTTTGTGTGTGTATATATATATTTATAAGATTTATGATAACTGATCAGACCATATACACAGTGTCAACATTGGTTTGGTATGTGGTCATCAAATCAAAGAGTTTTCGCTATCCATTGCTTTCCGTTCATTAGAAAGTATATTTATCAAACGTCTTTTTCAGCTCCTTTTAATATATAGAGTGTGTGTATATATATATTTATATATATAGATATCACATAGTAGCGCCATCTCATTGGGGGAAAAGATCTCGTATCCACACTATCAAATTCTCCATCTAACAGAAGTCACGTTGCCAAATATCAAAGGCAAGCTAACTAAAAAGCCCCAGCCTAGCGTGTCCAAAAGATAGTAGGGAATCTTAGGGTGTCTAGTGCTCCGTACCACAGTATAGCTGATCAACGGTATAGATTGCTTCGGAGTCAACACTGAACTGACTGACATCATTCAATGATTTGATTGGTTCGTGAAGGAAATCCATCTGTTTCCGATGATGGATGGATTGACGTGTCGTTCACTTATCGGTACTTTTTGTGTGTCTCAATGAGGAAAGGTTTTTTACTTTCAGATTGAAACGAATCACGAGGAGTATCAGCGGTCCTGATCTAAACAGGACGTACACTCGTATCATTGCTTTCAAAAGAAGATTTTTTTTTTTTAATTTTTTTTTTTTCTTGTACGTCGAGAGGTCAAAAGTTACTTAAACACGAATACAGCAAATACTACGTACTACGGGCGCTTTTTATTTATTTATTTTTTTAAGCCTCTCAAATTGAAGGGAAGGGCACTCAATCAAGACATCCATTTGGAGAGCTAAGAGCACGTTAAGAAAGAAGGATACTTCTCTAACATATGTTGGGTCGTATTTTTTAAAAAAAAAATTGTCCAATTCACGTATATAAAACATTTTTTCTATATATAATTTATCTCTACTTGAAAAAAAATAAATACATAAAAATTTGAGTGTTTCTCAAATCTCTAAGATTAGAAAGTATTTTTATTTTTTATTACCAAACACAACAAAAAGACAGTAATGATCAAACGGACAAATAGCTATGTGTAATAAATGTTGTTAAACCTTACGGTAGTATTTGTTCTCACAAAATCCAAAAGATAGATTAAGGTTTTTTCAAGTTCACTTCAGTAAGAAAATGGCACCTTTTCACTGAAACAAACCGGAAAGAAAATGGTATCTGTTCACTTAGTTTGTATATTTGCTAGACAAAAAAACATACATGAACAATATGATCATCTAGCAAAACTGACAGTAAACCATGGCCGCGATTCAAATTAAATGATTTGTAGGAATAATATTATGTGTGGTAATGAATGCCATCAACAATATGTTATTATGTTATATGCAGCACCAGATTTTATAAGTAAACTCCAAATAACTATTAAAAGACCAGATTTTAAATGCCCATCAAAAGATGCAACATAGCAAACACACAGAGTACTACAACAATTAAGTCTTTATCTAAAACAAGTGAAATCCAAGCTTCTAGATTGCCTGAAACTCATAGGTTCTCTTGGACTATCACATGTTTTTTTTGTAACGGAAATTGTCTCACGGGATAAAAGGAAAATACTTTAGATAGAAGTCTAGCAAGTTTTGGGGCAGAGAGCTCCGAGATTCATTATTCTTCCTCGCCAACGCCCAATGCAGTTTGTTTACAGATGGGGCAACAATTTTTCTCGAAGAGCCACTCTTTGATGCAGTCGAAATGGAATTGATGGCCACACTCCAGCTTCCCGAGTTCCTGCTCTTTCACAAATTCATCCTACAATTGGATTCAAGAAAGGAAAAAAAAAAAATTAATAGACAGCTTCAAGATGATATATAAAAAAAAAGGGAGAGAGGCGGGAGAACGAAAGTTAAAACTAGGCTGAGTACAAAGAATGTAAAGTGTTTAACCTGACAAATACAGCATAATTCTCTCTCTCCGAATGTGATGAGCTGATATTTATGGCGCTGCATAGCCGCCAAAATAGCTTCTTCACTCACTCCGGTGTCCACATCTCCAATTTGCTCTTCCAGCTCCAACAAATCCTAAGCCCCAAAAACATCATTTATGAAGCAATCTTCAACAACAATGACAGGAAGTGCAATGCCATGTAAACTATTTACTTCTCTTTAGTGAGCGTTACCTCATAAGACATATCATCTATTTCAAGACGCATATCTTCATACATATCATAGAACGCTCCAAAAGGTGGAATATCTATCATCGACTCATCAACAACCATATTATCCTGGAGAGATCAAATCATGTGTAAAAATAAAAGTTTTTTTTTTTTTTTTTGCATACTTGAGACAGATACAAATACAGAAAGTACTAAACCAATATGAAAATTCAGCTGGATAATAACTCCCAAGTTTTGTCCATTTCCGACGAGCATCGAGTTAAGAAATATGAGTGGGGATAAAGAAGGGTTCACCTAATCAAAGAAAATAAAGAACTTGATAAGTATAACACAGTGAAATGCTAACCTCATTATCCAAGTTGTCAGATAAGTGCAAGAGCTCCACAAGACGATAAAGCTGTTACGAGAAAACGAAGAAACTTACACATCTGATTCAATGATAGGTCACAATCATTGGTCAGGAAACCAATTTACAGAAAGAACAAATGAGGGTGTATTTATATGTCATCTCAATATAAGAGTGCAAGTATCCAATAAAAGATTAAGACAAAATGATGAATTAAAAAATTTACAGACTTCGAATAACACAGACAGTTATCTCATCCTCAAGCATAGATAACGGCACCCATTTTCAAATTTCAATTACAATTAACTTGAAGATATGACCTTTTTTCAACAAATTTATTAAGTGGCTAATGTAGGACTGACTACTTGACAACTTATGGAAGAGAGGACAATTTGGTCTTCTAAGTTGTCCATGATCACATACACCATGGAATGTTTTCTTGAATATCTTTCATTATTTTGTTTTTTTTTCGATATTAAGATGAGTGTTTAAAAAATAATTAGAGATCATGATATGCAACAAAGAATATATAAACAGAGTAATTGTGAGATTTAAAGAAAAACAGAGGACAGAACAAAACCTCGTATCGCATTACTGCCCTACTATAAGCATCACTAGCCTGCAATGGATGGAAAGTTCCATTAGCCATAGCACCGCATCTCTCTCGGGTCCTCTGGAGGCTAGGTGCGAGAACTGTCACCATAGCCCGGGGATCACCACGTTGGGCTGCACGAACATCTCTCCAGGTGATTCTTCTAGCAGGTGGTTGCCTGAGAAATCCTGATGATCCATGTGCATATCCTTCAGTAATATTATGTGAAGGAAACCCAGGAAGAGCAGAAGATGGACGCCTGCCAGCAATCGATCCATTTTGAGCTCCTTCAGCAATATTTTGCTGAGGAAGCCAGGCAGGATCAGATAGCTGGACATCTGCCCTAGAGCCAATTCCGGAGTTAGAATCAAAAATACTTCGGGAATTTCTTAAATTTGTTAGATTGGGTTCCAAGTTGACCCTCGCACTTTCAGAGATGATAATAGGCTGTTGAGAGGTGTATCCCGGGACATGTTGCAAACTCACTCCCGCTAGCAGGGCATCACTTCCATTTGCAATAGATGACACATTAACAGAATTTGAGCTAGTAATCTGATGCCCTTGGCAATGCTGCATGATCCGAGAGTTAGAGTTACTAGGACCATGCATAAGAGGCGATACTACAGAAACTGAATTTGCCATTGATGCCACAGGCATCAACTCGGAAGATTGATATACGATAGTCCCAAACAAAGCTATGCTCGCTGTTTGGGAATCTTGTTGATTTACAGGAGCTCTTCTAAGACGGATATTTCTGCGGAGGCTTTCTCCATTTCCTGCAAAACTAGAAGTTTGATGCACATTAGAATGGAGTCCCACCATTCCAAACCCAAGCATAGGGTTCACTTGCGCTGGCTGCGTAGCATTTGAGAGGTTATTAAAGGGAGTGTATGTATTCAAGTTCATTGAAGCATTGCCTGGTGTAGGAATAGCTTGCCCTCCAGGGTAATCAGCCTGCTGAGTGGAGCTTGAATATTCCCCAAGATGCATTTCTCCAGTATCTTCTTCGGGGGCTTTTCTTTTGCAGGATAAGCAATGACCATCTGATGAAGGAACTGACCTATCACCCATTTCTTCAACCGTCTCTACTACATTTAAATCTAAATTATGACGAATAGCATCTGAACTGGCACCTTGTAAAGTTGAAGCCCCGTGCACAACCAGACAGTCATTGAGGCTTCCATTAACATTTCCCAAAATAGGGACACTGTTTGGCTCGTAATTTCTTTCTCGTAATTCCTCCGGACCGATTTGGTACCAGAAGTTCCCACCATAATTTGATTGACCTATCCAGCCCACATGACCACCATGCTCTAAAGCATTGCCTGGAAGTACATTATCTGGAACCACCCAAAAATCATTGGCATTGGAACTGTGGTGAAAGTGACGTGTTTGGGTTGACAAATTGGATCTGCCGCTTCGTCCTTGTAACAGTGCCCAAACATCCCCCATTTGAAGTTCTGGCAACTAAGGTTTTGCATACAATGTTTCTCCACAGCCCCAAAATCACACTACAAACATTAATAGTGGATCTGGAATAATTTTCTATATAGCAGCATATGCATATACAGGTATAATAATGAATGAATAATGACTTGCCAAAAAAATCTTAAAAACGATGAATAATAACATGTCATGTTACCGGAACTCAAGCCAACAAGAAAAGAAAGAAATTAAAAAAAAAAAAAAGGGGAGATTTATTTTATAAAAGAAAGAAAGTGAAGTAAGACGAAATATTTCCATTAGACAGTAGACACGTACGCAATTTATTTTTCAATTTCAGTAGTCAAAAGTAGAAGGAAGAGGTCGTCAAAGCTTTGTGTACTGTATGAACTAGAACTCGAAGCCAAAATAATATAAAACCTGAACCAAATAAATACGTAAATTCTCTCAAGTGCATTGAATTAAGCAATTTGGAAATCGTGTCTTATCACACCTGTCTGAGATGGAAATGCACATCTCACCCCATTCTTGCATGCAATGCCCCACCATCTATCAAGATTGATAGTAACATATGCAAAACCCAAAGGATTCATATATGTGATCACAAAGCCAAAAAAGGAAAAATGAGTCTCTTTATGAATTCATTAGCTTGTTTGTATCTAATTCATTTTTTGCTTGAACTTACCACTATTTGATGTATGTTTGTTCATCAAGCAATTAAAAAATTCAACTAGAGTAGCCCATATATCTATTTAACTAGAGTAGCAAGGTCGTCCTATTAACAAAAGACCCTTCCTTTCAGTTAACCCATAAATTCAAATTGAAAGGCACAGAACTTTAATAAACACACACAACAGGAATACAGATTAAGACAGTTAAAAAAAATAAAATAAAAGGACTTCTTTCTTCATTATTGTCAAATATCTAATCCTAAATACCAAAAAAGAAAGAACTTTTAAGAAGAAAGTCCTAGGATAGCCAATGGGCAATATCAAATATGCATACAGGAAAATCAAATCATCAATGTCACCTTGAACAAGAAGAATCACCCTGCTAATTTCAAAATACCCCTATTTTATTAATACATAGGTTTTATGCCATGTCAATGCAAGGCTACTTAAATCGTCGATGCAAACTAAAGCTAAACATATGTGATCTTTTATTTACAAACTGGAAGATGACTTATCTAAAAATTTCATTGATAAAGTAAGATCTCCCCGCCCATCAACCATGGACACGCGCACACACACAAAGAACAAAGATAAAGAATGAAAAAAAGAAAAGGAAACATAGGTCATCAGCCTAATCCTAGCTTCCAAACTACTAGAAGCACAAAGTCAAGAATTTAATTCAGGGAGGGCACAATGAGCATGATCAATTTCTTTTTTCAACTAACAATGAGGCAAAACAGCACGTAAAGTCATTATTCTAAAAAATATATAGTAAAAAAAGTTCAAAAATATAAAATATGAACATTAAGTTCATAAAATTGTAGTGAAATTTTTAATAAAAGAAGAAGAAGAAGAAGTGTGAAAAATGTTATTGCACGTGCATCATATATGAGTGCAAGAATAAAAAAATTTAAGAAAGTGAAAAAAAGAAGAAGAAGAAGAAGAAGAAGAAGAAAATAAAAAGAAAAGAAAAATGAAAGAAATTTGAAGAGAAAATTAGGTTTTTATTGAAGAAAGTGAATGCAAATTTTTTTGAAGGGATCAAAGAAACTTGAAAAGGCAAAAAAGTAATAGAGAAAAGAAAGAAAGTGTTACGGAAATTTTTAGAAGGGGAGAATTTTATGGGGACATTTTGTAAAATTTCAAAAAATTACATACACTAAAGCAATTATATAATTAAATAAATATATATACATACATATATTGAAGAATTATATTGAGCCCAAGGGACAACTTCAAAACTAGAGATTTTAGGGTGGCATTTAATAAAAAATTACACGTACTAAAATAAAAATAAAAAAATTATATATTTATTAAAAAATAATATTATAAAATAAAAAGAAAAAGGAGGAAAAAAAAAAAACTAAAAAGGAAATCATAGGAAAACTTAGAGTTGAAAGAAGAAGAACATCAAAGATAGAAGCCTCTCCATATCCATATATTAGGATTTCGGATATTTGGAAAGTACCAAATCAAATGGCCAAAGGATGTTCTGGAAATGGGGCAAAGAAGAAAAACATCAAAGATAGAACTCTCTCCATGACATTGGTGTCAAACCCCCAATCAAATAACATATTATAGTACTTTTATCCATATATTACAATATTTGTAAAGGACCAAATGTGGAGTGGGTGGGAGTGCAGAGGAACGCCAAAGGGCATTTTGAAAATGAGGCCAATAGATCATCAAGGTAACCACAACTTTCTATGGTTTTAACCCATTGCATAAGAAAACAGGACCAAATATGGTCCCAAATAGCTTAATATCGAGACAGTCATAAGAGATATGGAGTAAATCCTCCCCCTTAAAGAGAGTTTGAATCTCCTCAGGCCAACCTGTGGAATTTACCGGTAGTTGCTTGGTGCATGTGAGACGGGGGACTATATGTACCCAATGGTGGACTATGAGGTGTTCTAAGAGGTCCTATACCACCACCATAGACAAAAGAAAACACACACACATGTATATAAATATATATAATAAAAAATAAAAGAAGTGAAGCATCATCACCCATAATTAGTTTCAAAAGTCTAAACCTAATCCATAAACAAACAATGATTTATGCCAAAAGGCCTTGTATCAATAAGGATCACTTGAATTACAAAAGCTAACATCATAAAGAACATTTTGCAAACTTGAAGGTTTTTTTTTTCAATACAAACTTGAAGGTTGATCGGTAAAAAGTTACAAAGAGAGAGAAAAAAAAAAAAAAATATATATATATATATATATACACACACGCACACACACACACACACATCACAAAATTATTCTCTCTATGAAATACACAAAGAAAAGGGCTTTAATTCATTCTTTAGTCAGCTCATGCCAACTGATTATCAGAGTCAGTTAGGTACAAACACCTTACCAAAAACAACAATTGAAAAAATAAAAATAAAAAAATCTGAAACAAATTGATTAAAAATCAAACACAATGAAATAGACGGGCACAAGATTATCAATCACTTATCTCAAATGTAAAATAGAGGAACAAAAATGGGTTAAAATCAGACATGCAATCCCAAAAACCACAAAGAATCACTATACATACATACATACATATATATATATATATATATATATATATATAAACAACGCATTATCAACCATTGATCTCAGCAGATTAAAAATCAACTAATCAATTCCAAAACACAAAGGATCACTGAAAAAATATGCTTATCGACCACTGTATCAGAAGTAATCAAAATAAACAAAAGGGTAACAGAGATTATACCAAAAGTAAGCGAGAATTGGTAGAGACCGATTGAATGGCAGGGTCAAGTCCAAAACACAAAGGATCACTGCAAAAATATGCTTATCACCCACTGTATCGCAAAGTAATCAAAATAATCAAAATGGTAACAGAGATTAGACCTAGCAGAAGCGAGAATGGGTAGAGACCGACTAAATCACACACCCAATAACTTACACTATTCACCTCTTCTCTCTCTATCTCTCTCTAAATCTCCTCCTATTTCTCTCTCTAGCCCTCTCTTGCTTGAACCAACAAAGCAAAGAAGAGATTGGTTTGTGAAGTGAAAATGAGGGCGAGATGGGGGGATTTATACAGGTTTGTGTAATCTGGAAAATGTGAGCTTTCAAAAGGAGGATTGGAATCATAATTACACTTCCGAAAACAGACAATTAAAGTTGAACTGTCGTCTTAGATGAACACCAGATGTATGGTGAGGCAGAGAGGACCGCAGTGAGAGCCTACTCGTGGCATCTCTCTCACACTGACTCTCTACTTTCTCTCTCTAGAAAATATGGTAACTACACTGCTTCGAGCGTGAGCCGTTATGCTTCTTTGCCTTCGTCTTCATCTCTAAGCATCTCCATTCATACTTATCTTCTCTAGCTTTGGTTCAAACTTTAAATGCACCCACACGCGCTCTTCTTTTCTCAAATGTCTTTTGACTTTAAATTAACTACCATTAATCAGTGTTTATCCAACAAATATATAATATATAGAATAATACAGTAATATATGTTTTTCACTTGTGTCTTTGCAATTCATGAAATGGAGTTATTTTTTCAATGCTTTATATTCATTATTTCATTTCTTTCTTTTTTTTTTTTATTTATGATTGCCAATTATCATTGTGAATTGTTTCTTTGATTTTTTTTTTTTGTACTTGTTGTTTTAGTTTGGCATGGATATGACAATTTATACCATTATATTATTTTTAGAAAAGATGGGTCGTTAATGTGGTTATTTTAATTTTTAAATGGCCGTTAATGTCGTTATTTTATTACCGTTATATTCTTTCCTAGAGAAGACAAGTTGTTTATGCTAACATTTTAATTTTAAATAGTCGTTAATGTCGTTATTTTAGTTTTTTTATTTATTAGTTTTTACCGTTTATATTGTTATAATAGTTGTTATAGTTGTATCATTTATATCGTTATATATAGTCATTATAACTTTTACATTGTCAAGATAGTTATTATAATTTATATCATTATAATTGTTTATTTCAGTTTCTACCATTATATCATAATTATAAGACGACAATTATACTTTTTATTATAATTATAGTTCATTAATAAAAAGTTGTTTGGTGTCGTCTTTCCGTTAATGGTCGTTAATATCGTTATCATTTATACTGTATATATAGTTATTATAATTTTTACGTCGTTATTATAATTTCTATTGTTTATGACGTTGTTATGGTTTATTCAGTTTATATCGTTATAGTGTAATTTTCAAATGACTATTATATCTTTTATTATAGTTTATTAATAAAAAGTTGCTCGGCATTGTCTTTAAGTTGTTGTTCGTTAATGTCATTATCGTTTATACTATTATATATAGTTATTATATGTTTTAGATCGTTAATACAGTTATTATAGTTCATTACTTAATAGTTGTTCGTCTTTAAATTGTTGCCCGATAATGTTATTATCATTTATAACGTCATATAATTATTATAGTTCATGTTAAGATGGATCTACAATATTATGGGAGGGGAGCAATACTGATTTTTTTTTTTTTTCCAGGGGGCAATAGTAATTTTTTAAGGGTATATAATAAAAAGAAAACAAATTACTAAAGTATATTATAGAAAGAAAAAAAATCATATGTGGGTTTATGCCTGGTTCATATTGTTTAAGCAGTTATTATAGTTTATTCAATTTATATTCTTACACCGTAATTATAAGACTACCTTTATACCTTTTATTATAGTTAGTTAATAAATAATTGTTCGGTGTCGTCTTTCAGTTATTGGCTTTTGATGTTTTTGTCATATACTATAAACGACTATTATATCTTTGATTACAATTTTTTATACCACTATAATGGTTTACACCGTTAGACTTTTTTTTAAAGACAATTGTGATACTTTTATTATAATTCGTTAATAAAGAGTTGTTCAATGTCGTTATTATTGATTATTTAAGTTATATGGTATAATTACAAAATGACTGTTACACCTTTTATTATAATTCATAAATAAACAGTTATTCGGCGGCGTCATTCATTTGTTAGTTATTCGGCGGCGTCTTTCATTTGTTGGCCGTTAATGTTATTATCATTTACACCATTATTTATAGTTATTATAGTATTTAGTTTGTTAGTATAGCTATTATAGTTTGTATTATTTATATGGTTATTATGGTTTATTCACTTTATACCGTTATAGCACTGATGTAAAATAACCATTATATCTTTATTATAGTTTGTTAATAAAGATTTGTTTGATGTCTGTCAACAATTAATCATGTATGGGGATTTAATTCCCGACAAACATCAAACAAATCCCAACAGACAAATCTTTCTTCTTTTTTTCTCTACTTTCTCCACTCAACTTCACCTAAATTGTTAAATTGATTATAAACTTTACCTTGGAGACCTAGAAGCTTTGATCAAAAGAGAAAGACTAGTTGTTTCTTCTAAAATAATGCGACATTTTGACTTTTATCAAACATGTTTTTATTTTGAATAAAAACATGAATGCAAAATAACAACGGTTGACAAACGAACCCTAAAATGTTCATTTTTATCTTTAGAGCTTCAAAACCTTCAATTTAGTTTTTATTCTCTAATTTCATCAATTAAAATAGGGTTAACTTCAGTTACACCTCCTGAAGTATGTCCTAACTTCAAGGAGACCCCCCCACGTTTGCAAAATTTCAGTCAGACCCCCTACTTTTTCTGACACACATCAGTCTCCCCCCTCAGTCAACGGTCAAAGTTGGTCAGAGATACTTTGTAATACCCTTAATTTTAAAAAGGATATTCCTGCTATTTAATGGTATTTAATTTATTATTTAAGTGCATTTTATTTGATTATGTATCATTATTTTTATTAGGTGCTTAATTGTTTTCTTTTGTGGTGATTTAATTTATTTAAATGATATTTATTTTTAGTTATTTGATTGGAATTACTTGTTAGTGTTTTAATTATTTAATTGGCATTAGTGTTTTAATTATTTAATTGGCGTTAATGGTTTAAGTGTAATTGGTTTAATTATTCTATGTGTATCTTATTTTATGTGTGTTTTATTTGGTTTAATTGGGTTTACTAATTATTATTTTGTTCAATTAGATTATTTGTTAAGTATTTAATGGCGAATAGGGTAATTAGGTAAATACATCTAACTAGGGTTTTAATTACAGTATAAATTAGGGTTTTATATTATAGCCGTCGTAAGTTTCTACGTTAATTGGATGGGCCGGTTAGGATTGTGAGTTAAACTTAAATGAACCTAGGGTTTAGGAAAACTCTATAAGTATAAGGTAGACGTCTGTGTAGGGTTTTTTTAAACAAAGCACACGTTTTGTGGAAGTGGAGAAGGAAAAACGCAGTTTTTCACATTCTGCCCAGATTTCATCAAACATCCGATCCCGCTTCGTCCATGGTCCGATCGAGCTGAATTTTGGAGGAGAGGTTCACGACTCAGTGACGCACAATCTGAACCGTGGAGATCAGAGTTTGACCTCGGGAACAGTGATTCGTACTCGTGAACAGTAACTGGGTCGCACAGGTTTTTTTTTTCCATTTTGCCCAGATTTCATCAAACATCCGATCCCGCTTCATCCGTAGTCCGATCTAGCTGAAATTTGGAGGATAGATTCATGACTCAGTGTCGCACAATCTGAACGGTGGAGATCAGATTTTGAGTTCGGGAATAGTGTTTCGTACCCATGAACAGTAACCGGGTTTTGGAACTCGCCGGGATTTTTTAAGAAGACGACGTTGAAACTTTGAACAAAAGTTTCTGAGGCAAGATTCTATCCTTACTCTTTCCCTTAGGCTTCATACTCTTTGCACTCTTAAATGATTCCAGGATTAATGAAGATTAAACCAAACTAAAATGATATTTGTTTTGCTATGAAACTAGTAGTTACAGTAGTGTTGTATGCTTGTTCAACCTAGACTAAGCATGTTTGTGGATGCATTGTAGTTCTGTGGTTCACTTTTTCCTTACCGCTGCTAGTATAAATTATTGGAAGGATGGGTCTAGATGATAGCTATCTTAACTTCTGTAATAGCAACTATTGGAACTTAAATACTAGAAGGATTTGAGTTTAACACTAGATCGGTTTTGTGGAACACTATAATTTGAGCATGTCTACATACATACTGTGAATATTGTTTTGATGCTTACATTATCACAGTTAGTATCAACTGTGGAGGTTAGGATTTTGTGATACGTACCCTACATATCTGTATGTCATTTGTAAGGTGTTAAATGGAAGTTTTAATTAATTCTGCCTTCATATCAGACTAAAGGGAACAACTTAAATTGGGCATGTATATGTTGTTGTTTTGACCCTGTTTATCAATGCTTATTTTATCACTGCTAACATTGAATGTTGGATGTTGGAATTTAGTTGATATATACTTGATTTATTGGTATTATTGACTACTGGAGGATTGGAAAGTAGGCACCGGTATGGGACGGTGGCATACTAAGGATGGGTTTGGTTTTTAAAACAATACCATTACCCACCTACTTGGAATAAGGATGGGATTAACTAAAAGTTAAGTCCCGTGGAATTGTATTGTCATGGCAACTACTTGTTGAGCGGCAATACCAGGGGTTTTGGATGGATTTTATATATGTACTGTTATGGTGTCTCGGTATGAGCTTGAGCCTCAGGACCGAAGGCTAGGGAGCGTATATGCATCGGAATGTGTAGCTGGCTACGATGGTTGGAGGTGTACCCTGTTTAGGTATAGGTACATATGCCCACTTCGTGTGCGTTTTAGCATGTTACCTCTATTCAGGTTGAGACCGGCCTGTAGTCCAGTGAGAGTCCTTTAGTGTGACTATATATATATGTATGGACTATTAGGTATTCTTGAATTGTTTAGGATGTACATGCGTATCGGGCCTCTGTTTGGATTATAGTAGTATAGAACTTGCGCGTGGGCCTGACCCACTTCTATTTTTCAGGTACACGACAGTTCCAGGCTTAGACGTGTTCGTGCTGAGCAGAAGTCTCTATTCACTCTTCCGACGATGTAGGGCTCTCTCTATAGTTTTATTTCTGGACGTTTATTTCAGTTGTTCTATTTTCCGTTTGGATGTTTAATAGTGGTCCACTAGAGATGGATTCCCAAGTTGTAAACTGATGGAGTTTTGGAGTTTGGGTTTGATGGATTTTAATAATTATAATATTTTGCGGATTCTATTTTTAGTTCCTTCCAGCTTTAATTTCATTTCTTAATTTATTTTGTATTCCGTGTTCATTATAAAATATTAATTGTTTGATATTTCCTCGGGTTTGGGCCTGGGCCTGATCAACCCGTGTCTCGGATCCGAGGGGTATCACATACTTTTTGCCGACGTCAGCAAAAAATGAGCTTTTAATGCCCAGATTGCCCCTAAACGGTTCTGTTTGTTTACAAACAT